AGAACTGAGAAGATCATCTATCAAACTCAACGCAGCTACGAAAATTTACAAGGGCCCAACTAAACAAGTGATGTGTTGCACCTAAAAGCAACCTATTTTCTTAAACACAGGATTCTTTACAGTATTTGCATGTTTCACTGGAGTAACCTCATAAAGAAACCCTATAAAACATTTTAGGGGCCAAAATAGTTTAAGAAACTATGACTATCAGGTGGCATTGTCATCGGCACTCAAACAGGTAAATATTAAAAAGGACAAAAACATACAGTTTTCATCGTGGTTCCGTGGAGGTGACCCCATGTGTGACCTTGAATTACTCCTTCCATATCTCTTATATCTAAAATCATTAATGCTTCGCTCAGTTGCACCCCGCATGCCAACCTTTCCACCAGGAAGTGTACCTCCATCCAGTATATTATTTGGTTCAACTGGCTGAGACTCAGACATTTCAAGAACCGAAGTGTTTGGCGGATCAGGGTTATTTCTGCTGCTAGGTGACCTTCGAGAATCAGCTGCCTGCAACGAATAAGGCATGGTTCTTGCAATTATGTCAAGTTCTGCTCTGGATTCAGTAGCCTGCTCTATTCTAGGGTCTGCTCTTGGGACAATTACCGGAGCAAAATCCGCTGCCTTATTGACAGGATTTGCCTTTGGGTTAGCTTTCATAAAATTCCTCCTTGATGTTGCAGCATTAGAGACAGCTGTTGAAACACCCGAAGTAGCTTTTGACACATTGGTCGCACTGACCCTATGAGGAGTGCTTGGTAAACTTCCCGTGGCTTCAAACAGCAGACAAAACAGGAAATAGCATATCATTTAATCAGTGTTGCGATTAAAGTAAGAAGAGAAGAGAAAAGTAATAAAAGTAAGCATACATGACAACGTCCTTGGCTCTTTTGAAACATCTGAATTTTGAGAAACTGACAACCTTCCGAGAGGCTTTGATTCCTTCATCGAAGAATCTGAATTTTGGGATACTGATGCTTTTCCAATGGACTTTGTTTCTTTTGTCGAAGGATCAGAGTTCTGCAAAACAGATAATCTTCCGAGAGACTTTGTTTCCTTCAATAAAGGATCTACATTCTGGGACATGGACAGCTTCCCGAGAATAGTCTTTGAGTTATTATCATTGAGAATTACTGGATCTCTTCCAGAGCAAGATCTTTTCTCCGGATGACCATTTGATTGTGCAGTGTCTCCTGCCATACATGGCTCAGTACGCTGACCATGCATCCAAAATGAGTGGCTTCGTAAAGCTTACAACCAGCTACAGTAAAACAAACAACAAAATGATATGTAAGGAGAGAGAAATACCGAGAGATCTACAACCCACACGCCTACACAACTTTGATTGTACGAGCAACCAAGAAGCTTGCCCTCGTGAACATTCATATCTGACAATCTTGACCATCCAACATCCACTCCATCATGACATCTAATAGGCTCCCACGAGAAAATCTATGATTTGCACAAGATAAAACTAAAGGAATGAGTTAAAAAGAGTAGGCATGTGTATGAAAGTAAAAGAGTAAACATAAGAAAAAATTCTCAAAAGATTAACATATATCTAATCTAAACACCTAACATATAATATCTAATCTAAACACCTACGTACTGCCTATCAAAGTACAAAAGAATTCACCTTGAGACTTTCTTGCAACCCACAAAGAACAGTTTTTCCATCTGGGTTAAAGCTCAGGCAACGGACCCCAGCAGTCTAGCAGAAAAAAGAATGTTAAACGTAGAGTGAAAATAAAATGTCACCAGTTTGACTTAATATAAAACAAGTAGTACCTCAGGTCCACCAGAACCAATTAGCTCGAATGTTTCCAGATCCCAGAATTTAACAGTCCTATCAGCTGAACCTGTAACACAAACAAAAAAAATGACGACAAAAAAAAAAAAACAAAAAAACAAAAAAAAAACAGAATGCGCTAAATAATTGTAATCATACGAATGTAAGATTTTGGTGAATGTTGCCAAATAGGGGAAGAAGGAGCCATATAATCATGTAAAGGGACCAGAAGGCAACAAGTTGAAACGTTGATACTCAATTGTTATCTACTCAATATATAGTATCATTCCAAAGATACTATGTTACAAAACCCTCTATAACATAAAAAGAAATGAAAAACATCTTTGGATGCATATGTTCTCCAAGGTTTGAAATCAAAAAGCTAAATATATAAGATGGCCACAAGAATTTTAATTACGTAAAAAGAAGATGACGCCATGACACAGGTATCTATGTAATTGGTTGTGCAGAGCTGGTTACCGCAACATACATTTGTGATGAGTCACTCTAAGCCTAGTCTATACATTTTTATTTGTGTTGGTACCATGAATGTCATCCCAAAAGTAGAGCGTTGGTATAAGAAAACTTCAACAGTAAAACATACCTGTTGCCAGTAGAAATTCATGAGGATGAAAATCTAGGCTTTGAATTTGCCCTTCATGGCTCTTAAACTCGGTCAACAGTTTTCCAGCTGTTAAATCCCACACCTGGTAAAGACAAACTACATATCAGATCCATTAACACACAGCAAAACGAAAGTACAGGTTCCTTGTAATTTGCTTTTGAAGATAACTATACAGGCGCACTGAGAGAGGAAAAGAAGCAATAACCAAGAGAGATGAAGCATCCAAAATAACTGGTCAGGTGGTTGTGTTCTAGCAAAATGCAAAATAATAGTACGGTTTCAAAACTGTCCTATTCCATACTCAGCTCAAGTGTAGAGAGGTAATATTACATAGACACAATTAAAACAAAAGTGCAGTTTCATTGCTCCAAATTCTCCCAAAGGTACATCTAACTAATCATGTCAACTAAGCAGATGTGTTTCCCTCCATAGTAAACAAAATAAATGCTCATATCCCGGAATGAAAAATGAGTACAGACATGAAAGCAGCTACCAACCTTCACAATGTTGTCCTCTCCTCCAGATACAACCCAGCGACCATCTGGGGTGAATCTGAGTACATTGACACCTCGAGTGTGACCCTTGTAAGTATGGATGCAACCCTTTTTTCTTATATCCCATATCTTAAGATTTGTGTCTAGTGAGCCAGACGCAAAAAACTCACCAAAAGGATGAAAATCCACCGAGATGCAATTCGAGCGGTGACCAGTGAGAGTCCTAACAACTACTCATCATGGCAAATGAAAGAATGCATAAGTAACATAGAAGTCAAATCAAGTCAAATAAGAAGTGCTTTTTTGTAACGACAAAACTTACTCTTTGCCTCCTCTAAATCCCAAAGTTTTATTGTACCACTAGCAGCTCCTGCTGCAACTAAGACCTCGGATGCATCAAACGTCACTGAATCAATTCCGCTCGAGTGCCCATACAAGCTCTGACAACAAACATCCACAATAGATGAGATGCTGATAATAAACAAACACTCAGAACTAGAGAATCTCCTAGACCACTATACTAACTTATAACTAATACATAATGCATGCAGCAAGACAAGCAAGGAAAGAAGCAGTAGACAGAGAACTGACCAGAATGGCATTGGGCTTACCAATAGCCCAAAGATTGACCTTGTGATCTTCCCCACCTGTAACCAGAACCCTAGAAGACTTCCTTCCGATCTTAAGACAATTGACAGCAGCAGAATGTGCCACAAATTCCTCTTTGAAACACACAAAGTCAAGGCAAAGCAATGGTACCAGAGAAAAGACCCTAGTCAAAACTCAAACTTGACTTGATGGTAAGTCTTAAATTCAAACAGACAAGTCTTAAATTTCTCCACGGGGGAAAAAATGCAAACATCAAAAAAAGATGAAAAACAGATCTCGTGCATCAGATAAAAGCAGCAGATCAAGCACGGCACTTTTATTATACCAGAAAAAAATTAATCAAAAAACCAAACCCTAAAAATAGAATCCGGAGCAAAATCATGAAAAAAGAGTAAAAAGGATACGAAGCTTGTAGGCTCGCTTGGTGGTCATGGTGGAAACGAAACACTTGCAATGGAGGAGGACATTCAAATTACACTCTCAACCATACCCAAAAGGAAGATTAAACAAAACAATCTCGGAAAATCCAAGACAGCGGTCCTCAAGATCTCCGCTTTCTCCGCCGCTGACCCAAATCTGAAACGGGAAGCAGATTAAAGAAACCCAGAAATCATAACTGGGGAAGAAACAAGGAGAAGGAGACACACGAGGAAATGACGCCGTACCCAGTTAATAAAGGGCTAAACTTGCTTATTCCAGAAACGCCTATCTCACTCTGCTCCAATGAAAAGATTTCAAAAAAACAAATTTTGGTGAAGTCTGTGAAATGGAACAGGATTTGTAGAAAATGAGAAAAGAGAAGTTTTTTTTTTAATTTTGAATTAAAAAAATCATTACTTTGTAACGTCGTTGTTGGTATCCCTTAGAAAATAAGAAAAATAAAAGAAGATTGAGAGAGTAGAGGGTTGAAAAGTGAGTTCCCTTTCTCTCCAATGGCGAAGTAAGGAGAGAGAGAGAATGACAGAAGAGCAGAGCACAAGGAAGAAGAGAGAGAGAGGAAGAAGCAACAAAAAGGAGGCGGAGAGAGAGAGAGAGAGAGAAGAAGAGAAAGAGAGAGAGAGAGAGTCTTTTTTAACCTTTGGGTTTTTTGGTTTTCTCCCTCTCTCTATTTCAAATTCCAAATAACAATTTAATTGGCTTCCTCGTATTTTTTCCATACTATATCTATCATATGTAACTTCATTTTACATTTACTACAAAGAATACAAATCATTTAATTATTTTATGACCCACAAAAATACAAATCATTAAAAGAAAAAATAACGAAACTAGCACATAAATGTGTGTTAATATCTAGACTAACCCTTCAAAAATTGTTAGAACTAGAATAGCTCAAAAATTTAAGTAAATGACAAAAGGCCATATGGTTTTTTTTTGTATTACATAACTGCCATTATAAATTTTTTTTTACAAAAATTTAAATATAATATTAAAACCCAAGAAAAGAAAAGAAAATAAAACTAAACCTAATTACAATACCAAAAAAAAGATGATTCTTTGCTCTCAAAGTTCAGCCGCCGGGAAAAAAGAGAGAGGTTTGTGTGCTGCCTCCTTCTATGGTGGAGATAACTGAAGAAGAAGAGCAGTTTCGTTTTCACTTTCAGAATCTTCCCAGATATGTTCTTGCTTTTTTTTCTTCTTTTGAAATTATCCAGATTTGGGTTCTTAATTCGATTCGATTATATGAAGATACTGGTACCCAACCCTTCACCACTTTTCTCTTCTCTTTTGGCATTAGAAAAAGCCATTTATTAACGGTAAGAGAAATTTCTGACTAGATTTGTTTTAATCTTCAAAATCTGAGTTTTTGTTGGTTGTTTTATTGCTTTGTTTCCAAATGATTTGAGTGTAGGCAGTATTAAATTCAAGGTTCAACTTGAACATGAGTAGTGTTTCAAAGAGAAAAGACAAATCTGGTGAATATAGCCAAGCTATGGGGAAATGGGTACGTTTGGTTCATTAGATATCACAGTCTACTTTTATATTCCTCTTTCTTTTTGATTAGTTATTTCCATCTGCCCAAGGAGTCCTAAACTTTTTTGGCTGTTTATTGGCTTACTCCTTTATTGGCTTACTCGACTTGCTTGTTGTTGTCCTTAAACTATGCACTTCAGTCACTGATTAATTGTTGTGTACATGTTTTCATTTCAGCTCTAACTTACTGTGACAGAGTTAGGAAAAAAAAAGGGTTAGGAATGAATTACAACTTCATTTGTCCTTGTTGGATCATTCTTACATGTTTTCTTTTTATCCTCGTGTTAAAGATAATAAATTTTTTTATTTATGTCCTTAGAACAATCCTACACTATGAGATGCTCACTAATGTTGTAAATTGGCTTGTGTTCAGAATGTACAATTTCAGTTTAGGACTGAGCTATAGTATGAACTTTTCTATATTTTTGTGTTTGCTCATGGCTAAACAGTTGTTTTGTGTTGTTGTTGTTGTTGTTGTTGTTGTTGTTGTTGTTGTAGTCAATTTACTTTTGAATTCTTCAGTTTTGTTGCCATCGATTAACCTTTGTATCTTGTAGGGTGGTTAATGTGATTGCAGGACACTATGCATATCCTTTTCAATAAGAAAGTCTAAACTTTACTTTGGTTTTGGTTTTAATATGTGAGATTAGGAAAAAGGCATGTTATGACTGAGACGATTGAGAATCATATCCCAGGAGGTGAAGAAGGACGCAGCAGTACGGCTCTTGTCACTGTACGATGAGATAAGGCCAGCCATTAAAGAGCATGAAAGAGATAGCCAAGACTGGCAACAAGTGTGGCGGAGAAATGGATACAAGCAAGCTGTAATAAACATAGAGTTTGATCTATAATCTAGTGTAATTAAGAATACATTCTTTATTTAATTAAAAAAGTGGGGAAAGTAATATATTTTGAATTTTTTTACTATATAATTCTTATTCAATTTACACAGCATGTTCATATATTCAACTTTCAAAATTTGATATATTTTTCTAATCAATTCTTAATCATAGTATTATATTTTAACTATAACAATAATTATTACTGATTTATTACAATGCTAGTGGCATTTATCTACTCATTCAAATAAAACTAGCCATCCCTATATTAGTAAAAGAGAAGTACAAAAAGTGCTTTCGGGTCGGGTCAATTTCAAAAAATTACCCGAAATTTGTGATTGGATATTTTAAAGTTGGATAAATTAATGGGTTTGGATACACACACCGGATACTTTCCAAATCTAATTTTAGTATTATATTATTTCCATAACTAATTATAGGATTTCCTAATATTTCTCTAACTAATTTAATACAGTCTATTTAAAAAATGTAATTTTGGAGACATAGTTTTTATTAATAAAATATATTATATATCAAACTATGTAAATTTTAGATAATTCACGGGTAGTTTGTTAAAATCACAATTATAATGATAAAGCGAGTTACGAATAATGTTTTTTACGAAATGAATTCTGTTACGGGTCGAACTTTCAAAAAATATATTGTAAATATGTAATTTTTACGTATATTCCTACTTTTACTACAAAAATAGTCAAAATGAATAATTTATCGGCAATATTATTTTGTGATGTTAAATTTTCACCGTGTTTTTAATTGTATCAAAACTCAGTATATGATTATTTACTCGCTTTTTCTTTATTATTTTATTTAAACTTATTATACAAATATATGATTTACCGTAATCGACTGCACTCTAACAAAATTAAAATGTAACATATTCTAAACCAAACCAACACCCCATGGCCATTTATTTTTCAATTTATACTTAGTTCATATTCATGATGGGTTGTGTAGTTACTTGGCCTTAAATCAACACCATAACTCTATCACAACAATACTAGAGTTATAATAATATTGTAAGTCTGTCGTCATTGCTAGGTTTTAGATGTAATATAAAATATTTGTAAGGGCAAAATCGAGATTTTGCCTCATGGTTCGCCCTAACTAAACCCTAGTTCAAATTTTCTTTCCTTAACTCCACCGTACAAGTTTGTACTGTGATGATAGAGATTTGATATACAACTCTATCAGCAGGCACTAACTCTATCAAATTTATGCTATTCTAGTCAGCGTAACTCTATCATCACTACAAGTAAATCTACCATAACGTGGACAAGTCTACCATCAAGTGTGAGAGCTCACAAATACTGGTTTGGCCACTATAATTCTACCACCACTGCAGTTAAGTCTGCTGTCTAACTCTATCATCCTGTTAACTCTCCCGCCACTATCATCAACTCTGTCAGGAAACTATATCGCTCCCATAACTCTAACTATCTTTTGGTCCTAAATCTACCGCCAGTACCATTAGTCCATTACCCTATTTGATAACTCTATAGTTGAGCCAACTCTACCGCCATTACAAGTAACTATACTAGGTACCTCTGTCATTTCAATGAATCTACCACCACTACAAGTATCTCTAACTTACAACTCTGTGTAATATCATACTCTCTACTACAAAACTCTATAATCCTCCTTAAGTTTACCATAACTAAATTGGTAGACTTATCGGTTGGCGGGAGTTTTTTCCACCAAAATATGCTCTCTCTCTCCGACGTGGAATTTCTTTTTAATGGCATCGACCGTAATTACATTTATTCCTGCAACTGGTTCAGAAGGACAAAACAGCCATTTTTCATATTGTTTCTCTCCCATCCAAATCAGTAATAAACAACAATTTAAGAGTTAGTTTCGCAATCCGACCTTTTATTTACCATTTCATTTTTCTTAATGTCACACACCATGCTTGTTATTTTTTTTTTTTGCATATAGTGTTACCAAACAAGAAAACTGAAATACGTTAAAAAATGATAGTTTGGATATAGTTTTTGTGTCATGTACTTTACCAAACAGATTAGATCAAACGGCTGAAATAAAAAATGGTTCACAACGTATATAATGTTGAAACAAAATCGATTTACATTTACTAAATAGCCGGTTTTTTATTTGTTAAAAATCTTTTTATCAACACAAAAATATTAATTCCAAAATGTATGTTTTTCAATAATTTGTTTTAACCAAAATGTATTTTCTCTTTTGCTGCCTCTACATTTATTTCTTAAACTTCTCTTGCATGTCCACTCACAAAGTTGGTTTCTTTGGTTCTCGATGTTTCTCATGCTAATTCCGTTTCTTGGCAGCCGGGTCGTGCTTTGTTAATCTTTTATGTGATATCATTCATCATTTTCTTAGTAGATCACTAATCATCATGGCCTAGGAGCTTTCATTGTATAGTTTTCATCCAAGAACACCAAATGCATTTTTTCTGATATAGATAGATCAAATCAATTCCAAGAACGGTTTGATTCATTATATGGTTTCGTTTCTGATGGTACTTTGTGTATATCCAAAAATAGGTTATGAATCAATGAAAGACTAAAAATAGGGGTGACATTTGCACAAACTGAATTCCCGGTTAGCAAAAAAATGATAATCCTTATTTTATGGAAATTTTTGAATATGAAACTACGTACTGTCGGTGCTATAATGGAAAATGGCGATGTAATCATTAATATGGTGATTATTGCTTAGATGTTAAATACTCTAATTTATTATCATGGACCCCTGTCCAAAACACACACACACACAAAAGTTGTAAAATTCATGTAAAAGATTATTAAATATGTTTCAGTAATATATATACTCCGTTTTGTCTCGATCGCATATGATCATGCATGTCTAAACATATAGGATACATTATTCGTTTGTAATGATATGATTAAATATATAAACATATAGGATAAATTACTCGTTTGTAATGATCATAACGTATCGGTCTATATATGAATCTATCTACTTGTGTTATTTGTGGAAGTATCTAATACGGTTTTATGATAACGTAGTGTAAGGATAAATATATAAAGCGATCCAATACCAAACATACATATAACTGTTGTATTCATAATGAAATAACAGTGACATTAGATTAGATAGACCAACGTTGGATAGACAAAAAAAATAAATAATGGTAGTGATGAAAGGTTTTGGCTTTCTTTGATAATAACGGTATACCTAATTGTATCATGGGGCCATGAGACTTAAGAGATCCCATACACAAGTACACGAACTCATAACATCTCATAAAACTACAAAAGAAACCCATTTTTTCTAACGATATTTAAAAACCCTTTATAAGTTCATTAAAGTTGCATGGTTTTTTATATTTTCAAAACATAATTTATTGCATTGTTTAATACAAAAAAAGTAAGTATCACGTACTACATATGATCTATCCATGGTCGATGTACTTATACAACTAGGGATCTTGATATACTATTGTTCATTTGTTATTTTTATCCTATAAAAGAAATAATCTTGATTTATGGTTGCAATGTTATGCAAGTAGAAGTGACATTTCACATTACAAAATAACTTATATATAGATGATGTTTTCGTTTTCTTTTTGGTTGACGACAAAAAATTCATTAGGTGGTAAAGATCTATACGTAACATCACGAAAACAACTTTACGGATAAATGTTAATTAAATAAACATTTGGTATATAATAAACTTTTTATTTAGGAAGATGATTTGTAAACCAACTTTTAAAGACAAACAAAATTTACAGATCACTTGCAAAACAAAAATGACAGCCAAATAATTTGAAATAGAAACCTACAATTACGGGCGTTAGCGTTTTGACTTTTATAAAGTTTTTTAAAATAAGTAAAGAGATAACATTTGTGTCCCTCCCTCTTCTTACTTAGTTATAATTTTGGCTGATTGCTTTTTTTTGTAAGTGCACAGTGCACTCACTCTATAATTAAAAAGCTAAATTCAATCATTGCCACCATGGCCTTGCCTGGCCTTTGGCCTATATGTGCTGTCACTACTAAATCTGAGTTTTGTTTATCCAATTATTTTAATTTTGAAGCTCGAATCTCCATCCACTCCAGTTTTTTTATTCTATACAATTCTTATAAACCTTGGAAGTTGGAAGACGTGATACATGGACGTGTTAGTACGTTAAGAGTCAAGAAACCAATAAATACTTGTCACGAATTCGGAACATATTCTTTTAAGTTTTTTTCTTCTTCTTCTTCTGCCTCCGAGCGAGAATTGTGTGACAAATTCGTGATATCATCTATGATCAACTTGTTTATTACCTTACGACATCTCTATATAAGTATATTTGACTAAGTTCTCTCTACTTAAAATCATCTTAGCAAGTCTTTCAAGTTATATATGATGTCCATGGGCTGAGAACCTGACTCACGAACGGCCTGACTATTACAAGTACAATATGATCCAAAACTACTCCCTTAAGTCCAATAAGAATGCTATCATTTCAACTACATTGTCCTCTCTTACCGTTTTTAAACCGTCTACCTATCATCTTACTATGATCAAACACTAACTTGCTCAATAGACACATCACTTAATCTTGAATTACAGCACTTCAGCTTACTCTTATCACTAGCAACTAGCAACAAAGAAAGCTTGAAATCCACGAGGTTTCAAAGACTAACTAATCATAGCTCGATCATCTTACTATGGTCAAACACTAACTTGCTCAATATGTAGAGAGTCTATAGATTGCATTCTCCTCTGTCTCACTAGAATACTAAGCAGCATAAAGATCATATTACCAACACCACAACCACACAAGTATATCTCTTATACAAATACTGGAAAAGACTAAGAGAGGAATGAGAATTACCTTTCAATCTAGACCAAATATTTCTTATGCTACCAAACAGAGACTACACATATTTGTATACATAAGGAACTGTTTCCTTAAGACTCATGCAAGTAACTTGCCACCCTATGTGTAGTATCCCCTTCAATGGAAGAGGATATAGTAGGATACTTTCAATGATGTTAGTCAAAAGTGCTAACTCAATCTAGTTTAATCTCCAATCCCATCTCACACTTACTTACCCCTGTGATCAAGATCCAACCTTTTTTTCGTTTCAAGATACTTCAATAAGCTAGTCTTAACTGTAACCCCGCAAATCTAGTAAACTAACAAAGCTATATATTGTCTTGACCTTGGTATGAAAATAGTTTGAAACAATCACAGGCTAATTCACCCTTATGAATCAAGAATCCACATCAAGATCCAACTTTTCAATTCACCACCCAATCTATCTAACAGTAAGAAACCAATAACAACAATGGGTATACACATTCAAGGCAATGGATCAAAAACAACATCAATGGAGGGTCAAAGAAACCTTATGTATATGACTGCTAAAGGGTATACACATCACTAGATACAAATCATTCTCCATTCCCAGATTCCAGTAAACGCAACAAAGACTGAGAAAAGAGAAAAAAATATATTTGCCTGATCGTTTCCATCACTGATCGATGAACTCGAACTCGTCATCTTTAAGATGTGCGACAAATTTGACAGGACCACGACCTTCAATCTCTTTGAAGAACTCAACTTTATAAGGAAGATTAGCTGAGATTCGTTTCCCTTTCCAAACAGAGACGTAATCTTTGAGTTTACCTTCCATACCTTCCAAATCAACCTCCGGTACTCGATTCACATGATAAACCTTCAACGGAGCCGTTACTCTAACCCTAGATCCTATCTTCGCCTTCGCTTCCGCTTCGATTTTGTCTTCCTCCGATGACGGCGAGGACGAAGGACTCACCGATTCGGCTGATTTCGTAGCGACATCGCATCGAATCGTGATTCGAGAAGCTGTTCTTGAGCTTGAGCGTTTGATTCGAGATTTGGAAGTGAAGAGCGAGAGAGGTGCGACGACGCAAGATTTGAGAGCCATGGGGGTGGTGGTGGTAGAAGTTGCGGCGGAAGAGGAGAGACCGTCGTGAGAGTACGGAGGACGAACGGCGGCAACGATCGCCGGTGACAAAGCCATGGTGTTACTCATCTTAGTGTTTAGATAAGAAAATGTGTTCGAAGATTGGGGAAAGTGGGAAAATCTAAATTTGATTCGTTGTCCTTCACAGTCTCGTTCTTTATCTAATAACTTATTTTACTGTTACATTAGTTTTACTGTTTTACCATTACCGCATAGTTATGTTAGATAATATTTTCGGATGATGTATGAGAATATTAGTCATAGACTCATTGGTTTATGTTATTGTTATGCAATTTGAATACGTTGTTTTTTTTTTGCGAATGAAACAAATGAATAAACTTGTGAATGACCAAAATGAAATGGATAACTTAGGATTTGAGGATAAGAGTGAATGAATCATTCAGTAAGAGAAGTGAAAAGGAGAGGCAGAAGAAGAGCAAGCAAAGAGAAAGACGTGTGTTGTCCTTTTCACGGGATGAGAATGAGATGACGAACGTGCGGCTTCTATTTTACTAGATAGAGATGCTTTTAGAGTTCCAAGTCAGACACACAGAATCTATATCAGAGTTTTAATATTTTTTAATATTTATATTCGATATCATCTGTATCGTCCAAGTGGTGTATAGAAGATACATATGTCCACAAATTAGATCACTTGTTCTAGACGAGTTTAGACACGTCACAAAGGGAACCATACACGTTAATATCGTCGATGTATATTTACTGTTGTTAAAGTTATGAATTGTTAACTGTCTTACCATTATTTTCGGATCATAAATACTTATGTTAACGCCTTGACTCATGATGATTCACAGTCGGAGTTTCAATCGAAAAGAAGAAGAAGAAAGAATTGGAAACACACAAATCGTTGTAGGAAACACATACACAGTACATATATAATTCAAAACACACACAAAAAGGGGCAAAAGAATATACAAAGGGTTTTTTGGGTTTTTTTGGGAATTTATGGCACAAAGGATGGATTGAAATGTATACTCTCTCATGTTACTTCTCTTATGCTGCATAGATATACGTACCGTAATCTTGACGCCGACCAAAAACATAAACAATAAAAACGAATTCCATATTTATATATATAAACATCCAAACTCTCTCTCTCTCTCTCTCTCTCTCTCTCTCTCTCTCTCCATCCACACGAATTGATGAGATTAATACAACTATGAATGTTGTCCAGGAGCATTACCGATCAGTCTGCATTGCTCTGGTAGCATAGTCGATATCACTTCTCCATGCAATGCAAACAGCTCTCCGTCTATACCACAACTGTCATGTGTATTTTTTCCCGCCTTTATCTTCACCGACTTCACCTGCAACAGTCATGCTTTTTATCAACTACACTCTCTACTCTAGACTTCTGAAACATATAATAGCATTGAGTTCAATCATATGATCAGCATTTCCTAGCTCATCCCGAGTTTCAGAAAAAGGAGAGCCTTGAGAGAGAGAAAAATTACCTTTACACACTCGACATATGGAAGAGAAAGATGTCGACCTGTTTGCAGAAGTATAAAAAACCTCAGTAACCTCAGTCTTCCACACCCATGAACCAAGATCATGTCCATTGTACCATCGTCATGTTCTGAATTGGGAGCCACCACTTGAGAACTCTGCACGGTCCGACAAGCATGGTTACAAACCATGATGCCGAGGAAATGCCCCTTTCTAGATACCCATTTATCTTCAAATCTTGGTGTCATGGTCTGCTTCCTCAGTCCTGTCTCTATATCCTCAGGAGGACCAGGCAGCTCGATTGAGTTTTCTAAATCCCAAGCAGATGGTTCAGAGTCCCACTTGGGTCCCGCATCCCAGATTGGACCCGGATCAGATACAGTAGATGAGATATCTTCCCTGTCATGGCCACCGGTATTCCCCCACGAACATCGCGTTGGAGGATCCTGCACGGATGTCAACCCCATCCATCCTTTATCCATTCTAGACTTTGACCTTGTCCTTGGCCAGTTAGGGGTTGTTGACTGTGATTGAGGATGAATAACCTCTGTCTCAGCTGTAATATCTTTTCTTCCAGAGGACATGCGTTTCATTTTAGGATCTATTCCACGGACATATTCAGATGGCTCGGTGCTGGCATGTGTGCTGCTACCCGTGTCTACTTCACCTACGCTTGGGGTCATTATGGAGTCGATACTTGACAAACTGGAGGCTCTAGGAAATCCATCTCTGCTTGATCTCCTCATTACATCCGTGTAGAGATCTTGTACATCCACAGCTTCCTTTTCAAGTCGAATTTTGCCTTCTGCATCCTCTTTTTGTGCCGGAAGATATTCCACTTCATAACTATACTTCGGCAAACACATGAACTTGAGGAATCCGGCAACAAAGTAACGCAAAGGACCAAACCGTTTTTGGTATTTTTCAGAGAGCTCCAAAACTGCAAATAGATAATGACAAGCAGAGTTAAAAACCATGGATTTAGTTATAGCAACTGAATGTCACAAACATTATACAGTATTCATGAAGGTACTGATATGTGCAAAGGAAATACTTCAATACAATAATCCTGATAGTCAAACACGAAACAGCATCCATAGCTTAAAAAAATACAAAAAGCACATCGGAACTGTTACGGAAATGGAGAAATATTTCCAGCCTTTTGTACAAGTTCAGTGTATTTTATTTCACTCCTAATATGTTTGAAAAACTAGGGGATTGTCAGCTTCTGACTCATCATCAGAAGAGTGCATATTCTGCAATATGCTATGAAATCAAGTGTCTTGGGAGTCAACATAGTTTCACACTGTTTTGATGAGATTATTTAAAAAGTAAACTCAAAAACTACAGCAAGGTCTAAATTCTCCTCTAAAATGCATGAAAGATCTAAACAGTTGGAAGAGACGGTGAACAAAACAAATTAGCCCAACTGTTTATCACCCATACAAAAAATCCCCACATGTATTCACTTACCATCACTGACAAAACCATAGTAGGACACAGTCATTCCAAAGTGTATAACACCGGTATGAATCCATTCAACAGCAAAGACATCAGTAGCTGTTAGACCACCCTATACAAAAAAAATTCCTTTAAGGTGAGAAAAAATTATTTAGCAGAAGCTAGCTAATGTTAGTGGCTGGTGAAAACAAAGCAGGGACCAATTAGGATTTTAGGTCGGTGTACCTTCACAATAGAGAGTGCTGCAGAAATGGGATCTCTTACACCAAGGACAGTCCAAACTAACGAGTTATCAGAACCAGCAGGTACTATTCCAATTGGGATAGAAACACCTTCTTTCTGATTGCTTCGAGTAAGAAGTCCATTAAGAACCTGCAATGTTGAAAAAAGGCAGGCCATGAGATGAGAGTTCATTCCAAGTAAATAGAATCTAGGAGATTTTAACATCACAAGCTGTATTTTGCATGCATCTTAGTCTACCTAAAGAGTTCTACATCGATTGAAAATTCAATAGTGAAAGTTCTCATGTATTTCAACTCGAGCAAGTGTTTCCCTATAAGATGCATCCCAAAGTCCTCGCTCTGGAGGATAAGAGTTACTAAACTCTTAAAATGGTTCAGAATGCTTGCAAAGTGGTGTGAGCACGCTGAAATAAGCCAATAAAGTCCCAATTCAAAACTAAAATTGATTCAGAAGTACATTAAGGCACCAGGGAAATGTAGTAGAGCAGATAAGAAACGTGAAGTATGGTATAACAAGAACATCACTTCTTGAAGTTAAATCCTAAAGACAATAGAAACAAAAAAGTGAGCATAGTTTAGGAAGGCTGATTATCACACCTCATTGATGATTCCATCACCTCCAACACAAATTATACCTAGAAAAATTATTCAGATCTCATAAGTAATAGTAATAGTAAATATGTAAGAAAAAATTATGCCTATTAGAAGTTAGATATGTGTAAAATAATATTATTCAGTGGTGGATCAAGCAGTGGTACCAACCGTCTGAGCACAAGTTAATGTCGACAGTGGAAGCTAACTCTCTCGCATGACCTGCTTTAGTTGTTTTGACAACCTCCAACTTAATTCCGGCCAGCTGTGACAGTGTTTATAAATATACACCCAAGCAAAGAAATACAAAGTTATTCATTTTAATATGCAAAATGGGATTGGAGAAATGGAAATGTTCTCCAGGGCATAGAAGATGTGGAAAAATTCATTCAAAACCTAAGTTCTATTAGTACCTAAAAGTGGAAAGTATTGTGAAGTTAGAAATGGTACCTTGAAAATTGGTTCCACTATATTGTGGAAAACTTTGATAGATCGTCCGTGCCCTGACCTAGGGTTTAATATGACAAGCATTTTAGGTGCACTCTTACACCTGAAGACCAACTCAGGAGGGGTATCAATTGGGACCGAAAATAACTCAGATGAAGCCTGTTTCTTTGAGACTAAAGGGTGTGGCAAACAGTTGATAAAACATTGTTGATCTCCAAAACTGGCCACCCATTGAACTGCTTCTTCTACTGTAGGAGCGACGAAGCGGAAATCCTTGCGGCTTCTCTTTGGTTTCGTAAAGCAAGAAAGACCACAAGAACCCTTTCCAATTGGGTAAGCATGCACAGTGAAATGCCTAAGACCAACATTATATGTCACCTAAAAAAGTTAACAAAACATAGATAAGTCTGCTGATTCAGTACATTCAATACACAGAGTTAGTTAGTTCATTGCGGGCCAGTCAATTTCAAGAGAAAGAAAAACCTACCGAGACAACATCATCAAGCTGTAGCATGTCAGAACCCCAAACCAACGCCCTGCTCGTAAGCTTTGCATCAGCTGCTTTCTTATTAGAGATATCCGTGGCAGATGGCTGTTGTATCTCTGTAGCATCTTTGCCACTTGTAGATTTTCTCTTATCCAACACAAGCTTCCCGGCATAAACAAGACTACCTAATAAATCAGATTTCTCATCCCCTCCACCGATATCAATCCGATGCTCATCAGGTTTTGGTTTCACCTGTGGATCATTAGTAACCTCACCACGTCTCGAAGATGCCTTCACTTTCTTGCTTCTCTTCTCAGGGAATACAACAGGAGATGACTGCTGAGATCCACCGGTAGCTATCTGAGAGCAAAAACCTAAACGTCTAAGCGACTGTTGTGCCTGAGGAATAGCTACTCTTAAAGAAGAATTCCGGTTCACGCCACTCTTCTGCATATCCGTAAGCTAATAATCTCTCTGCTCTCAAGTTCCGCGGACGAAACAGAGGATAAACAGTGATCGGGAGGCATACACAAAACAAAAACCCCTAAAAACACGTCGATGAGCACCAAAACAGAGAAACCCAATCAACCTCGTTCGAGCTGGTCAACGAACAGATTACAGAGGAGAATTGCCAATCCTATCCGTAGCTACGTACCAGATCTATCAACGCGTTTTTTCAAGAATTTTTTCCTGTAGCAAAATTCACACCATATCTCGATTTATATGCAGCATTTGAATCGGAATTGAATCAAAATAACAACACTACTCAACAGATCATGCGAAATCGCAAGCAAATGATAAACGAATCTGGGGAAGAAAAAAAGGAAACAAAGAGAAGATTAAGAGCTGCTTTAGAGCTATTTTCGTCTTACCTCTTCTAAGCTTCTCGGCGAGCAAAATAAAAATATAAAATGGAGAGAAGTGAAGCAAAAGTAACGCCGCCGGATCGGAGGATCTGAGAAGCGTCAGAATTGAAGAGAGGTGACGAAGAAAGAGATAGAGAGAGAGATAATGGCGGAGATGACTCGACTCGACTCAATTCGATTCGATTTCGATTGGATTCGACTCGACAGCTGAAACCTTATGGCCCCTCCCTTTCGGATTTTATTTCCACTACAGAACCTTTTTTTGGACTTCTATTTTTCCATTCTTTTATATTTTTTTAATTATCCCCCATTATTTTTTATTTGTTTGTTTTAAATTCTAACGTTTTTATTTCTATAGTTTTATTATTATTATACATTACTCGCTTTTAGCATGGTAATTTCTTTTTTACAATTCGTTTTATTTCTAATATAATTTTAATCTTAACATAATTTATTATATTTTAGTCGATAAAATTTTGAGTTGTCAAAGAAAATATAGATTAATTTCATGTTTATAGAAGTTTCAGAGTATCATGTTATTTTAAATTCATATATTATTCAATGCTACTATAAATATCTTATTTAGCTTAATTCAAATATATTATAACTTTTTAATCTTATTTATCATAGGAAACTATAAAAATTGATATGTCACATAAATTAACCTTTTTTTTGGTCAAACATAATTTAACCTCTTCTTATGGAAATGAAATATAAATTTTAAAAATGTGCATATATAAACTAAGCCAAAATCATGAAACGTTTTAGATACAATATCACACGTACATACCTATAAAATTAATATATGCTTTTATCTTGGCTTTTGAAAAAAAAGAGTATATTGGTGGTATATATCTTAAAAGTACATATATACGAAAAATAATGAAGTTACATTTAAAATACATAAACATATCTTAAAATAATATAATTCTAACTCAACTGAGTGACATAAACACTAGTGAATTTGTGATATATATAGAAATTACATAACATAATTTTTTTTGGTGGAAAAATAACATAACATAATTAAGAAATAATATAATTGTATATACAGAAAAATCAACACCTAAAAACACCGACTTTCACATTATATAGACATATCGGATTATATTATTTATATTATTTACAACATAAAAAAAAAAAAGAGAGTAATCCATTGAAAAATTAATAAGAAAGTCAACCACCGTTATACCAAATTTTAGATATGATACAGATATACTAATATTTGTTCTATTCTAACTTCTAAGTGATTGGTGGTGACGACGACAAACTAATTAATACGATATTTTTGTAGTTTACCATGTTTTTCTCACTACTACTACTTAGATAGATGCCGAATATTCTAAAATTATAATTAACAACTCCAAGAACAAAAAAAAATCTTAAAAATGGGTTATAGCTAATTAGCTGTCGATATATTTTTCCTACCTTTGATAAAACAATTAGCTTTCTTAGAAAAGGATGAAGCTATGTTAGTTGATAGTTTAGCTTAGTAATAATAACCTCATAATTTAAAAAGGCTGATTAGAGAAGGATTAGTGGGAGAAGTTGGTACGTAGATGGAAGCTGGCCCCGACCATACGCATAAACAAAAAAAATATATTAAAGCTGAAAGCCTAAAAAAACAAAGAAAAGTTGGAATGATTTGTTATATATAGTAATGGTTTGGTTCATTCAATTTAGAAATCGACCAACAGACAAGTGATGCTTCGTTTAGAAGAATTGGTTAAAGAGCATCTTCTTCTTCTTATTATATAAAAAAAGCTTGGGGGACATCTAAAGCCATTATTGCTTTATTAAGGGGATTATATACTTTGTAATACTAAATTAAATAAAGAATTAACGATAATGATGCAATTAATTCTTGGGTGGGAATATTCATAGCACTTTCATATATACTAGAAGATTGTAACACGTCTTCTTCTGTAGATCTTTTGACAACAAACAAATAAAAACCACACATCTTTTGTAAAGTTATAAAGATGATTAGCTTCTTCTTCTTTTTTCCTTTTTAGTAAGGTCGCTTCATGTTGTCCCTAAGGCCTAAGCTGCAATATCATCCAAACACAGCCTCATCTCTTTGACAAACCTTCCGAGTTCAACGAGTTTGGTAGAAATGAAAAGCGCCGCACACATATTAGCAATTTCAGGCTCTCTTTCCAGATACACAGCTCAGATGAAAGAACCTTGTCAACAATCTAAACTGTAATAAACAAACATTGTATTTGTATGTATCCTCAAGGTGAAAAATATTATATTCTCGTATGCAATAAATCATGTACTATGTTGGTTAGTTGCGAAATATGTAACCAACATCTTTGATTAAGCAAATTAAAGAATAACAAATTAAAATATATAGCATATAAAGGTTTCCACCTAGTGATGATGGGTCATAAGGTTCAAGGCCCATTTCATTATCTAATAAGTAGAGAGGGGGATATCGACAAAGGCAATACAAATTAGCCGGGTCATCTCACAATGCTCTTGGCTTGAAGACAGAAAGCTTCACCTTGTACTTGACTTGGACCACACGCTTGTTCACACCATTAGAGCTTCAATGCAGACCAATCTTGTCCATTTTTCCGAATGTAAGAAGAAGAGAAATGAGAAAGGACCAGATTCCTCAAACGATGTTCACTAAGGGTTCTTTAGTGACTTGGTCGTTAAAAGAGTTGGATTTAGTTGATGTGAGGCCGTTGCTAAAAGAGTCCTCTTATGGATCAAGCGCAAAGCTGAGGCTGTAGTTTGAATGAATTGTTGTTTTTCTGTTTCTTTTTGTATCAGAGGTATATTTAGGCGTTTTGAAATGTAATGTGGTTCTTAGATGGTACTTACAGAAGATTTAGTCACAATAAAGATGTTTCTGGTTCTAACAAGTTTTAGTGAGACGGAAACATATATAATGAGATAGACAAGAGTAAGAAGCATAAATGGGTCGGTTAAGCTCAAGCTCAAGCTCAAGCTCAAGAAATAGACATTTTCATTTTCGGATAAGAACATAACTTTCTAATCCATTTTACTACTACAGTGTTACGTTTATCTAGAAAGTTCTAATGAATTCGGATCGGGTAGGGATGGGGTGACCCGACAAAAACATTGCACGCATTGGCCAAACAAAATCGGATTAAAGAAACAATTAAATCGAACGAAAGAGAAGGACCCAAATATACAAAAAAAGCAAAAACCGTTTCGGCTTTGATAGTGTCCTTCGTCTTTAAAGCAGCGTGTCTTCACCGACCTGCGAGTCCTAAGGATCATACATGGTACCTGGGCTTTGAGCTTTCCGTCAAAATCCTTCTCAAGGGTTGTCACCGATTCGACGATTCTCACTCTTACATCCGAAAGTTTCAGTCTTTTCTCTCGCACCGTTTCATATACCCGTCTCCAAGGTTTTGCATTTCGTCGCTGTAAAGTGTTTGTCTCTGTTCTCTCTTAGTTTTAATCTCCTTTGATGGAAAGTTCGTCGTAGTAAGGATGGTTCTAGGTTAATATTTCCATCTATGGCGATTCAAAGCTTTGACCTATCCTGGTTAGAGAGCATTTTTTTCTAACCAAGAAAAATGAAAGCTTTAACCTTTTTTTGTTTGTTTGGTTGAAACGTTACAGGGTATATAACTCAGAATGGAGGATTCCAATGGGAAAGTGAAAATTTCGGGTAGAAAGAGGTTGAGGAAACCTAAGACTCTGGAATTTGTTGGATGGGGTTCGAGAAATCTCATTGAGTTTCTTCAGTCACTTGGTAGAGATACCACAAACAAGATATCCGAGAATGACGTTACTGCGATTATCATGAGTTATATCCGCCAGAAAAACCGTGAAACTCCTTCGAAGAAGAAGAGAAAGCTGGTAGCTTGCGATGAGAAGTTGCGTTTGCTTTTTGGGACTCCGAGGATCAATATTATCAAAGTCCCTGATTTGGTAGAGAAGCATTATCTAGACTATCAGGACGACTCAGACTTTGATTTTCTATACGCTTCAGAGGATGATAAACAACAGAGGCCGTCTCCTTCAGATAAGGTGGCTAAACGAGCCAAGCAGGTTGTGCAAAAGCCTAAAGGCACCTTTGCTGCAATAGTGAGCGATAATGTGAAGCTTTTGTATTTGAGAAAGAGTTTAATCCAGGAACTAGCAAAGACTCCTGAAACTTTTGAGAGTAAAGTGGTCGGGGCTTTTGTGAGGATCAAGAATCCCTGTCAGCTTGTTCACGTGACAGGTAATTTTCATCTGAATCCTGGTACCTGTACATAGCATAGTTGAACGAGTCAAGCATCAACATGCAGTGTTTCACTCCAAGAACTCAAGTTCTGTAACTTTTTAGATTTGTCTGAGATTGAGTCCTATTCATTTGTGACTTATTTTAACTATGCTACCACTAATCGCATCTCTTAGATTTTCAGGTTCATCAAATATATTTGATCTGTTAACTCCTCTTTCCTTTTTTTGATTTCCTGTTAAGTAGGTGTGAAGGAGGGAAATCCGATTGATGGTAATCTTCTTCAGGTTACAAATTATTCCTATTATCTAGAAGATGTTGCTACCTCTTCCCTATCAGATGATGATTTTTCTCAGGTAAATTCTCAGAACTATGGTTCTACTTTTGTGCTTCTTATCATTGACAATGTAAGGCAGAAATTTAGTCTAGATGAAATTGATTGAAGCTTAATATCCTTATATATTTTCTATGTGATACTGAATAGTGTGCAAGACCTTTCTTTCTCCCTCTGAACCGTAATTTGCTTGTTTGTCTGTTTCAGACAGTAAGTCCTCAGGTAGCCATGTGTCTATAGAAGTGGCTATATATGGACTGATCTAATTTTGTATTTATCTGAAAATGTACATTTACTATCTTATGCAGTCTATCTTGTTTAGATAATGGCTAGTCACAACTTTGATTTTACTTGACAGATACTGCTTCCTGTTTATGATTTATAATAGCTTTACGTTACCTTTTGCAGGATGAATGTGAGGAATTTCGTCAGAGAATAAAAAATGGCTTTGCTAAGAGACCTACAGTTGTAAGTTTCTTTTTCTATTAAGTAGCTAATGGTACCTTATATCGCAGCCTTGTTGTCTATAGAGCTTTCTCTAGAAACATATATATTGCTCGACATTTACTCTTACATTACTCCCCATACTGTTGATGCTATTGCTTCTGATTTGTTTAAGTTCTCTAATCAAAATCCACTTTAACCATGAACAGGTGGATATGGAAGAAAAGGCTCGAAGTTTGCATGAAGATGTGACAAAACATGTATGTTGCTAAATTTACTCTCTATTTGACATGATATCATATATTTTTCCCCATTCATTACCGCATATCTTCTTTATCTCACATTTGGAAGTGACAATCAAAATAACGCTTTAGATGATCAATCAAATCCTGGTTATTGTGTCTAATTGTATCTGAAAGCTGCAAACTTTCATCCAGTAAAAATGGTATCAGTTTGTATTCCCATATCTAACTCTCAACTTTTTGTGGGTGTCTTTTAGTGGCTTGCAAGAGAACTTGTATTGTTACAAAGGCTTATTAATCGGGCTAATGAAAAGGGATGGAGAAGAGAATATCCTTTCATAATCATTATCACTTTTATATATTTCTAGTAAAGAATTACTATTGGGGAAGTATAGTGATCCTCTTTCTATATTTTTCCTTGACTTCTTAGCTATTACACTATCCCAGTATCTGGAAAGAAGAGAGCTTCTTGAGAATCCAGAAGAACAGTTGAGGCTATTGCATGAAGTTCCTGAAGTTGTTGCAGAAGAACTTGAGCCGGAGAGAGTAGATGATGATAGAAATATAGAAAATGACCTCACTGTACCAAACCCTGAGGCTTTCACGGAGGCTCATCAAAGTGTCGAAGAAAAACAACCGAGTGATTCACTCGTTTCTAGTGTCCAGAAAACTTTAGAAAATTCGGAGCTTCTTAAGAATTCGGAAGACCAATTTAGGTTGTTCCGTGAAGTTCCTGAATTTGTTGTCGAAGAACTTGATCCTGAGAATGTAGATGACGATGAGAACAGAGAAAATGACTTCATCGTACCAAAGCCTGATGCTGCCACTGAGGTTAATCAAAGTGACGAAGACAAACAAGTGAGTTATTCACCAGATTCTAGTGTCCAGAAAACTCTAGAAAATTCGGAGCTTCTTGAGAATTCGGAAGACCATTTGAGGCTGTCCCCTGAAGTTCCTGAAGTTGCTGTCGAAGAACTTGATCCTGAGTATATAGATGATGATGAGAAGATAGAAAATGACTTCACTGTACCAAAGCATGATGCCTCCACTGGGGCTGATCAAAGTGAAGAAGAAAAACAACTAAGTGATTCACCAGATTCTGGTATCCAGACAACTCTAGAAGTTTTGAAACTTGGTGATAAAGAAGACCAACCAATATGTACTGCTTCTGAAGGTTCGTCCATCCTTTGTAACTTCAATTTATCTAGAGGACTTATATTCATCATTTCATTCTTTTATTGTTTTGTTGGCTGGATCGAACCATGTCTTTCTGACTTGTTTGTTCTTAATAGTTGACTAGATAGTATCCAAGAAGTTACAGGGACCCGTATTTTTGTTTGTGTGAATTGCAGGTAACAAGGATCTCCATGAAGATGTATTCGAGCCCCCAGAAAATTGCATCACACAGAACAAAGACTGTCTCCCTGAAGGAGAGATAAATAGAAAAGTCACTCAACAGCAGTCAAGTATTCCTGTGATTGATCTGTCTAACCTCCCAGAGATTATCGAATTGAGCAGCGATGATGATGATGATGATGACAAAGACAATCAAGCTTACCAGAACTATGATCCAAAGAAGGTGATGTGGTTCTATGAGCTCCCTAAAGGTAAAACACATGGACCATTCTCTCTCACACAACTCAAAGAGTGGTACGACGAAGAGTACTTTGATGAAGTTCCAGATTTCAAAGTATGGAGGACAGGAGAGAGTGCAGTCTTAGTGGCCAAACTTCTGCCGTACATCAAAACCTAATGGAAGAACTTGTGAAAGCTCAGATTATCAGTTTAGAAAGTGTGCAGTTTCAAAACAAAATTTGTTTATTTAATCAAAAACAGTTGTTGCAGAACTTAGTGTACATGATGCAAAGATATTCTGACTTTTGTTATTAAAAAAATAAATGCCTCCTCTGAAAATCCAATGAAGCATAATTGTTAAATTGAAAGATTCCTTAAAACTATAATGAAGTTTAACAGAAAAAAAAAAACTATAATGAAATCCTAATTGTTGTTGCAAATAGTAACAAAAATAAATAGTGTAGTATTTAATTTTATTTTGTTTGCAGAGTAAAACATATATATAAAACCCAGAGGTCAGCACAACACTTACCAGTCCAGGAATTAAAAAACTGAAAGAGACAGAGAGATAAAAGGGAGAAAGAGAGAGATTGCTTGAAGAAGACGACGAAGACAAAGGAGGAAACTTTCTTCTCATTTCAATTAAAAAAACCATTTTTTTCTGTTATCTCTCTGGGTTTTTCGTTGTCGTGTGATTGCGCAATTGGTTCTTTGATCATTTGCTCGCAATCATTACTAATTTCTTCTAAATCAACACGCTCAATTTCATATTTTTTCTTAGAAATTTCCTCGCTTTTGGGGTTTTGGTTGTTCCTGTTTCATTCGTGAGATTGAATTGCTTAAACGCTCAGATGAGATCATGAGAATTAGGAAGAACAGAAGAGCGGAAATTAGAGTTCTTTGTTCCAGTTTTTGGGGATTCGATTGGGATTTACTCAGCTTCGAGTGAGGAGCTGAAGATGGAGAATGGCCATGAGGAGAGATTGGCCGAGAAGTTTTCTGGTTTTGGACTTGAAGGTTCTTCTTGCTCGCCCGAGAATGAGTTTAAGAACGACAACTTGTTTCAGGTCATCAAAGCTGTTGAAGCAGCAGAAACCACCATCAAGGAGCAGGTCTGGTTCTCTCTTTGTGTCTTTATTTGAAGTTGTTGCTTTTCTCGGTCATTCTATATAGAGGATTCATCTCTCGTTTTGCCACTCCAAGACGATGGTTTTTGTTTGTCACTCGAAGTAATTTGGCAAATCTAAGACTGTGTTTTTCTACTCTTAGCAGGTTGAGGAGAATAGCCGTTTAAAAGCTGAACTTCAGAGAAGTGCTCTGGAACTGGCTAAATATGTAAGTAAAAGAAAAGAGAGTATATGTTCGATCTTTCTGATTACTTGCAATCAGATATATGTATTTGGCAATTAGTGATGAACCTTTTTTAGCTATAATGATAGTTATTTTTTTGATCATTTGGTGAAATTGTGATTTATATGGTTATCTTGCTTTTGTTCTCCATCTTGCCTAGAAATCAGATGAATCCTTACGCCAAACATCTAATCTTGGAGATCAGTCAAATACTACCACTGTTTCCCCTTTGGTTCACCCACCAGTTGACTGGAAGCAGAGTGTGATCAAGGCTTCGGATACTGATTCATCAGGCATGCTGGTTGTTCACTCCCATGTGAATGCTAATGGAGAAGAAGCTACTCTGAGTAATCGTTTTGAAAGCCACTCTGAGGGAAATTTAAGTAATGGCATTGTCAGAGAAACTATAAATGGTGCTGGTCCCTCTCAACTTGATTCTTCATTTTCTCCAATGAGGTACTGAAACTAAATTCACAACTCTGCTGGGTGTTAAAATTACTTGTAAAGCTTTTGGTATAGACGAACTTCCACTGTCACAAAGTGTATAATTCTTGAGATCTGATATCTGCTAGAATGGGGTTGGAAGGAGAGCATACAGCACACATCAACTCATATGCTCATGGATCTATGCCAGTTGATGAAGTTAATAATTCAGGCAGTGCATGGAAGCAGGTATCCATCAGTCTAACCACGTCAAGGTTTTCCTGGTGTAAATAAAAAACTGTTTACCTGACTATGTACCTATTCAGGACCTCATTCACAAAGTCCAGGAGCAGGAACACGAAATTTTGCAGTTGAGGAAATATCTGACTGACTGTTCCATTAAGGTGAGTCCTATTCGACACGGGATATTGCTAGTCATTATTGGGATGTTATGTTACTTACTTTGTGGTTCTTAGGGATTTGTTTGTGATTGAGTCAGGCTTCTTTTGTTGCTTATGTTTTTTCTCTAGTTTTTTGCCCTTTATAAGTGAACTGAACAAGAAATGAAAATCATCTATGGTTTGGATTAATAAAAGTTTGTCATAAACAGAGTAGGATTTTCATGGGAAAAGATAGATTTGCTGCTACTTAGAGAGACCTGCAAATATGTTACCCCGTTTCATCGGAGAAGCGGCAAGCTCCTATTGATCCAAACGAAATATTATTTCTTAAGTGATTTTTATGTTCTCTTAGAAAGGGCACAAAACAAGAGCAAAACCCTAAACAATCAGCTCAATCACTAATAAAGCCAAGGCAACCATAAGAGTAAAATGACATAATAAAATCTGTTGTCTTTTATGTTTGCTGTTGGTTCATCCCTTTGCATTCTTGGTTAATTTTATGCTAAATCAGCTGACTAACACTTTAGGTGTTTTTTAGGAAGCCCAAATTCGCAATGAAAAATATATTTTGGAAAAGCGAATTGCCTACATGCGTCTGGTTGGCCTTTCCTTTTTTCCTTTCTTTCATATATCTGTTTTTCATCTCGCACTCAATCTATTTAATTTAATTTCTTGGAAGCTCAAAGATTCTTGGTTGTGTAACCAGGCATTTGATCAACAGCAACAAGATCTTGTTGATTCTTCATCAAAAGCTCTCTCTTACAGACAAGAGATAATTGAGGAAAATGTACGCCTAACATATGCTTTACAGGTATTACTGTCTTGTGTATGTGGAAATACGACAATAGTTGTCTGTCTTCTGGCATACTCCTTAATTTCTCATTTCTATTTTCTTTGGTAACCTATTTTGGCTGAAGACCATAAATTATCCTCAATTTCCATCAACTTGTTACCAAATGTTCATGGTTCAGTTTTCAGACGACGATTTGTCGCTCGCCCAACTCACGTTCATCATATTTTTTGGATAACTACATAGTGCATTTTGTGTCTGTATATATTTTTGCAAAGTCTGGTTAATTTTAAATCGAAGCCAATGTGCCTTTTTCGTTTTCTTTCCAGGATACACAGCAAGAGAGAACTGCATTTGTATCATACTTGTTACCTCTTTTATCGGAGTATTCTCTCCAACCACAGATTTCTGATGCTCAGTCTATTGTTAGCAATGTGAAGGTCAGATCCAAAATCTAAAGTGCTGTCTCTTCCTATCTTTTATCTTTTTGTTATAACTTGTACTGGATTCTTACCTTTCTTGTTTTTTCATTCAATTGTAAATTTGGACCATCTCTAGCGCCTGTTAGTTTGAGAGATTTTGTTCCATTGTATTAGACTTGACTTCAAAAGAGCGGTACAGCATTCTTCCGTGGAAATCTTTCAATTTCACATCCGTCGAAATTCAGGAACTATGATATATGTAAAAAATATTTCTTGTAAAAGCTCTATTGATGGAATGATGGCCTTTTGTTTTGCCTTTTGCATTGCCTCTCAGGGGGATATTTAAAAACTGTGCTTGTTTTTAGTTCCCTACGGAAATGGCCATGACTTGAAGTCTCTTTCAGTGAATTTATGGGGTATCCTCTATCGAGGATTTGAACTTGATTGACCTATTTTTGAGCTTCATGGATACGGAAGCATACACATTTGTTGTCTTGTCTGTGAAACCTAGAATTGATGTGGAGTCATGGAGAAAAGAACATAGAAAATTGGGATAGGAAGTGAATTGACTGATTAGTTATCATACCCCATTTAATTTAATTGAAATGTAGAATAATCTTGCAGTCTTTTCTGTTAAAACTAGCGAATAACGTTTACAGCTATTGTCTTTTTATTCAGGTTTTGTTTAAGCATCTTCAAGAAAAGCTCCTTCTCACTGAGGTATGTTATCCGGGTATGGGCTTATCTGGTGCTAAATATCAGTGTCTGCTTCATCTTATACTGCAGTTTATTCCTGGCATTCAATCGGCTGAATTGCCTACTGACCTATGATAGATGCTTGTTTCTGACCTTTTCTGGTACTAGACAAAGTTGAAAGAGTCAGAATATCAGTTAGCACCTTGGCAGTCAGATGTGAACCACCCAAATGATTCCCCTTTGGCTCCATTACGCTCAGCTGGTGTAGCGTTTACCCACTCCGTACGTTCATATTCCTCAGTGTCATATCATAAGCTTGAATTGAATCTTAAATTATTTCTTGTGTTTCCACCAGACAAAGGATTCCCTGTATTCCCATGATCACACAGCCTTAGACTGGAATTTGCAGCGCCAGCATCAAGATGAGCCAAGTAATGCAGCTGTGAGGAATTACCATCTTGATGAGTCTAGTACGTTTTCACCTCCTGTTAACAGGTGAGTTTTCCCTGCAAAGACTGCTATCCAAACTATATGCAAACTAAGTGCACCCACTCACAATTTTATGAAGTCTACACATGTAGTTGCTAGAGCATTGTATTTATCTATAGCCCTTTTTCTGTTGTTGACTCTTGACTCTTAAACTTTTCTGACAAGTTATTTGATTTAATTTGGCTATGACTCTTGACTCTGACTATTGGCTCTTGACTGGTAAATCACGCTAACAAGTTAATTGATTTAATTAGCTATGACCCTTGACTCTGACTTTTAATTCTTGACTTGTATAACACGCTGACACATTATTTGATTTAATTTGGCAAAGACTCTTGACGCTTGAGTCTTTCTTGTTGACTCAGAAATTCCTTGTTCTAAGCCAATAGTTGGTATTCATCTTCTGCACTTTTGAGTGTTCACCAGCTTTGCCCTATGCTTACATTTTCTAACTTCCTGTTTGCTCTGGGCGATATGATGATTTCAATTCTCAAAAGTATCAGATTAGTCATAGGCCTAATAAGGTGCTGTTCTTCTTTATGTGTGTTAGTTCTTGATCTCACATGAAGTGCCAGATCATTTAACTTCGTCTTTTTATTTTCTGTTTTTACCTTTTTAAGTATGGTTATATAAAAATTTCGTAGAGCACTCCTGGTTGTATGCATTGTAGTTATTGATAAATATTTTGTTGGAATGTTGAACATAGTTTAATGATTAAGTGTCTCGTGTGTACCAGTCAGTCGGCAGCCTTTGAGATGCATGTGCAACCAGGTACGAGTGTGGACGACTCTCCTGGTATGAAGCAAGTAAATGAAACTCCATCCAAGCATGTCCAATTTCGTGAGCCTATTAGCAAGACGGTGGTGGACGCTGCCCAGAATCCGTCATATGTGTCTGCGTTTGATGATCCAAGCTCCTCGAATTCTCCTCTTTTATCCCCTGTTCTTGAAGAACCTTCTTCCTCCTTCTCTGAGGGTAATGACTAATAATACTATTTTCAATATAGTCTTTCACTTGTCTCAATATTTTGAACCTCTGTTGACAGCTGGGGATGATGACCCGTTACCAGCTATAGAGGACCTCCAAATTTCAGGAGAACCTTATCCTGGACATGAGCTTCAGGCTTGTGGTTACTCCATTAATGGAACAACAAGTTGTAATTTTGAGGTGTGTACTGGATAGAAAATAGAATCGCTTTCTTATTTAGTTGAATTGAATCTAATCTATCTTCTTCTCTTCTTTAATTTTTCAGTGGGTATGTCATCTAGAAGATGGATCTGTGAATTATATTGATGGTACACTACATTCCCCTCCTGCTGACCATATCTTTATCTTCAAATTTGATCGGTCCCTTTTATTTCTTATAACCTTATGTGGAAATAAGAATTTAGTCATTAACGAACTTCTAATGCAGGAGCAAAGCAGCCAAATTACCTTGTCACTGCTGATGATGTTGAATTGTATCTTGCTATTGAAGTTCAGCCTTTGGATGATAGGAACCGAAAGGTTAATGTCTTTTTGAATGAATGAGGTTATGAAGTTATATGTTGAATAGTTATCTTCTGTGGATAGTGAGGATTAGGATTGTGGTATACTAGTTCATGCTAAAATCTTGTCGGGGGACAGATCTGCTTTTGGATTAAGTACGAATATGATTTAAGAACTGTGTTAGATGTGCTTACACTGTTGTTTTCTTCTGCTGACTGTTTTTTTAGGTTTTATCCATGTGGTTTGCATTATTCATTTGCTACTTTCTGATTTCAGGGGGAGCTTGTGAAGGTTTTTGCCAATGATAATCGCAAGATCGCTTGTCGTAAGTTTATCCACTTACTTAAAGAATCATCTTTTTGAGTTCCTATAAAACTAGGCTACTTGTCAGTTTACATCTTGATATTAAGATGTTAAAGTCTTTAATGCTCGCTGAGCTGTCGCTGGTTGGTTGTGTAAGAGAAAGTGGTTCCCTTAAATCTGAAGCATTCTTTAAGAACTTCAAAATATTTATTGTCAGACCTCAAGATAACAGTAATCCTCTTTTATTCTTACAGATCCAGAGATGCAGAGCAATATAGAGAAGACCCTTCATACTGGTCATGCTTCATACAAAGTTTCCCTTGCGGTATAACAGTTGCCATTTCAACTCGTATATTTTTGGCTATGTATTCACTGGTTTATCTTGGATTAATCTTTCACATGCATGTGGCTTTGAACAGGCTGGTTACGTGGATATATGGGAAGCAGCTACGTTATCTATTAAGAGAGAAGGCTACAGCATCAAGTGCAATAGCGATCTCACAATTTCGGAAAAATTCTCAGCTTCCACTGCTGTAAGACTTATGCCTTATTTGCTTCTGTCCTTTTTTGTCATAACATAAATCTCGCTTGTCTGTGAAACGTGTGGTGGTGTGCGTATGGAGGAATGTGCAGCTTTGCATGCCGAAAACGTTCTTTGACAAGTTATGAACTTATGATGCATGCGTATTTCATTTTAATGTTAAGAAATAAGAAAGCTTCTGTAAGCAATAAGGCTTATCCCATTTTATAAGTTAGAATTTTAGAGGCGCTGAATAAATATTTTCAACATTTTGTTACTTCCTAAACAGAATTGTGTCTTACATGCATGTCCATTAAGCATACTGTAGCGAAACCAGTTTTTGTTTTCAGCAGATTCTTCATGTTTTTTTTTTTTTCCAGCAGTTTCTTTAAGTGGTTTTAGATAAATAGAGAAGGCAACGAGTTTTGAACTAATATTAAAAAATCCTTCTTGTGATACCTCTTTAGGTAACAATTCCGTTTGGGCAACCTGCAGACCTAGTTGTCATAGGTTCTGATGGTAGTGAGTATACTTTACGAACAGATAATGGATCGACAGACCTAATTGGGTAAGTAAACTTCGCTTTCTTTCAAAGAGAAATGTAGACCATAAGAATGCTTCGATGTTGATGAGCCTGACAAAACTTATTTCGGTTCCTGAGTCTTAGTGAATTTAAAAGCCCATCTGTATCAATCAGCATATGCATCTTAGCCTGGTCAATTGGGTTGTGAGCTTGTCAGAAACTTGATCCTGATCAATCAGCATATGCTTGGTCCTACGATCTTGTACTAGATTCTAGATCTATGAATCTCAATAGGATTAGACACTAAAGTGTAGGTGATATATATCACACTATAATCCAGTAAATTATATGGTCTTGACTCTTGTGTGTTCATATTGTTTGTTATATGTCTGTTGAATACTCCACTCTAAGCTTTTGATCTTCTGTTATCTTTGGCAGCTCAAGAGATGAAATAGTACTCACCCTGAGATTGTTTATCAAGAGGGTAAATGTTTTTAAAAACAGTAAATTTATTTGATCACTTTAGTTACAATCTCTAGAAGACAAAAATTGTAGTTCCCATAAACTAGAGAAAATTGTACTAAGGCTCCAAGCTTCATGTCTAGAAAAGCAATTGCTGATTAATTTGGTTTGCTTATTCGTTGCAGGCTCTGCAGAGGAAGAAGGGAAAGAAGAGAGTATTTTTGTTTAACAAATGAGACTGTATATAATATATATTTTTTTTTGGCTCTCTGCCTTTTGTTAGCTGCAAATCAGTTAGTTATTTATAAGGCCTTGTGACACCATTTATTCATGAGAAATATCAGTCTTTGTTTATATAAAAATTAAGTTACATTTGATCTCACTACAAATATCACTGTTCTGCAGTCACATTACATTCTGTTTTAAAACACGGAACATCACTCTCACAGATTTACGTGTTAACCTTCCATACAGGGAAATATTTGTAAACGACCGGAGGAGAAGTCACTAACTCATCCTTAAGGCTTAAGCTCCACCCACCAACAGTGAAAATCCTATCTAACATACATCCGTGACCGTGCACCGTAACTATCTTGGAGCTGGTTTGTCCAAACAAAGTAACCATATCTTCTAATTTTGGTCAGATTGGAGTCATCTGGACAAGTGACTATATAATATGAATTTTATCTGTATTTATTCAATACTTTATATACAAGTGTGACGACCATTACGTAAAAAAGTTTGATTATTCAACGGGGGGGATTAGGTGATTTATGAGAAGAAACTTTTTACATAAGGTATTCGTATAGAACAAAACTTAAAAGTCGTTTTAGATTCTAACTTGGTTTCTCGTTATCATCCGGCGTAACTAAAGGAGCTTCGACGAGTCGTCGTTTCTCCGCTTCTGTCCGAAAAAAAGGAGTTAAAGCCACGCTAGGTAAGGAACAAGTTCGTGACATCTTTGCCTATTTGTTTGTCGTTGACTCTTTGACTCTTTAAATGTTTCTTACAAGCGATCTGGTTTTTAATTTGGCTATGGACTCCTCTTGACCAAACATATTTTTTGATGATTCGTTTGTTTCGTGTGTACCACTCAGTCTGCAGCCTTTGAGATGTTTGTGCAACCAGGTACTACAGAGTGTGGTCTAAATACTAATTCCATTATGGTGCTTCACTTGTCTCTCAATATTTTGAACCACTGTTGAAATGACAGCTGAGGGTTATGACTTGTTACCAGCCATAGAGGACCTCCAAATTTCAGGAGAACCTTATCCTGGAAATGAGCTTCATGCTTGTGGTTACTCCATTAATGGAACAACAAGTTGTAATTTTGAGGTGCATACTGAAAAACAAATCGCTTCCTTATTTATGTAGATTGTAGAATTGCTTCTACCTAATCTATCTTCTTTCTTCTCTTCTCCATTTTTTGCAGTGGGTATGTCATCTAGAAGATGGATCTGTGAATTACATTGATGGTACACTACCATTCCCCTCCTGCCACCCATGTCTTTATCCTCCTCCAAAATACTCTTTCTCTTTTGTTTCTTTTAACTTCATATGGGATTAAGAATTTAGTCTTTCATTTCTACTGCATGCAGGAGCAAAGCAGCCAACTTACCTTGTCACTGCTGATGATGTGGGTTTATATCTTGCTGTTGAAGCCCAGCCTTTGGATGACATGAACCGAAAGGTAACATCTTTTTGTATGAATGAGATTATATGTTGAGTATTACTTTCCTGTCGAATGCCAAGATTAGGATTGTGTTATACTGGAATCTTCATCTGGATTTTAGTTTCCTCAGTATTTTTGTTTTGTGGGATAGGTTTTGCCGTTGGATTTAAGAGCTGTGTTAGATGTGCTTACACTGTTGTTTTCTGCTGACTTTTTTCTAGTTTTTACCTATAGTTTGCAATATTCATTTGCTACTTTCCGGTTTCAGGGGGAGCTTGTGAAGGTTTTTGCCAATGATAATCACAAGATCGCTTGCCGTAAGTATCCATTTACTTAGCAGAATCACCATCTTGACTTCATATAAAACTAGGCTACTTGTCAGTTTACATCTTGATGTTAAGAAGTCTTTTATGCTCTTGCTGAGCTGTTTCTGATTGGTTATGTACGAGATAGTTGTTACTGGTTCCCTTAAATCCTCTTTTTGTTTTCACAGATCCACAGATGCAAAGCAATATAGATAAGAACTTTCATACTGGTCATGCTTCATACAAAGTTTCCCTTGCGGTATAACATTTCTCATTTCAACTTTTGGCTATGTATTCTCTGGCTTTTCTTGAATTAATCCTTCACGTGCATGTGGCTTTGAACAGACTGGTTCCCGGGATATATGGGAAGCAGCTACTTTATCTATTAAGAGAGAAGGTTACATTATCAAGTGTAATAACGATCTCACAATTGCAGAAAAGTTCTCAGCTTCTACTGCTGTAAGATTTATGCCTTATTTGCTTCTGTCCTATTTTTTTTTCATGGTGCTTGTCTGTGAAACGTGTGTCGGTGTGACCCTGTGGGTATAGAGGAATGTGCAGCTTTGTATTTTTAAAGAGTTCATAGACAAGTTCTGAACTTATGATGCATGCGTATTTTATTTCAATGTTAAGCAGTAGGAATGCTTCTGTAAGCAATAAGGTTTGTCCCATTTTAGAAGTTGAGTTTTATCCATTTTCAACATTAAGTTACTTCCTGAACAGATTTAATTTGCAATACTGTAGTTTACTGATTTAAACATCTTCTCTACAAGAACACGTAGCGAAACCACATTTCTTTGTTTTCAGCAGATTTCTAATAGTATGATTAGTTGATGTTAGATGTAGTTATTCTAATGAAATTTTCTTTGAGGTGGTTTTAGATAAATAGGGACGGCAAGGAGCTTTAAACTAATATTAAAATCCTTCTTGTGATGCCTCTCTAGGTAACAATTCCATTTGGAAAACCTGCAGAACTTATTATTCTCGGGTCTGATGGTAGTGCACATTCCTTACGAGCAGATAATGAATCAACAGACCTTACCGGGTAAGTAGAAGTTAAGTTTCTTTCAAAGAGGAAGTAGACCATAAGAATGATTGGATTTTTATCAGCCTGACCAAACATAAATAGGATCTAAGTACTTAGTGAGTTCAAAAGGCGATTTGTATCAATCAGTGGATGCATCTCAGCTTGGTCCATTGGTTTGTGAGTTTGTGAGAAACTTGATCCGGATCAATCAGCATATGCTTGGTTCTATGATCCAATCAGATACACCAAATCTATGAACCTGAGTATGATTGGACACACAAGTGTAGGCAATATATCACAATTTAATCCAGTAAATGATATGGTCTTCTGTGTTCATATTGTTCGGTTATATATCTGTTTGATAGCCTATTGTGTAAAATTCTTTAATCTTCTGTTTTCTTTGGCAGCTCAAGAGATGAAATAGTGCTCACCCTGAGATCATTTATCAAGACGGTAAATATTTTTCAAAGCATTGTATTCATTTTATCACTTTTGTTACAATCTCTAGAAGACAAAAATTGTAGCTGTCATAAAATCACAGACAGTTTTAAGTAGATTAGACACGCAGGTGTAGGTGATGTATAATATCCCCTTTGATCTAATAAATAACATATGGTCTTGTGTGCTCATATTGTTTGTTATATGTCTGTTGAATACTCCACTGTAAGCTTTTAATCTTCTGTTATCTTTGGCAGCTCGAGAGATGAAATAGTACTCACCCTGAGATTATTTATCAAGAGGGTAAACGTTTGTAAAAACAGTGAATCTATTTTGTCCAAAGACTTCAAGCTTTATTTCTAGAGAAGCAATTTCTGATTAATTTGGTTTGCTTATTCGTTGCAGGCTCTGCAGAATAAGAACTAAAGAAGAGTAGTTACAACGTTTAAGGCCTTGTGACATAATTTATTCATGAGAAAAATCAATCTTTGTTTATATAGAAATCTCACTTAAGTTACATTTGATCTTACTATAAATATCACTGCTCTGCAGTCACATCACACTCTATGTCAATGACCTGTTCAAGTCACTAAACAATTGGCCACATTTACAAAGAAGAATTTTTTAAGTCTTAAGGAGATATGATACAACAACAATGAAGTAACACAAGTATTTGCTAAATTTGAAATCAATCATATATTCAGCTGTGTCGGAATTTAGGCCACACTGTGATAACTCCTGGTCTTGTCTCATCAAACCTGTACCTGTAATGCAACATTCCATTCCTCAGCTTGTGAATTATACTAATGATTAAGAAAGATATGAATTGGAAGATAAAACAAACTTTTTTCACCTGTTATCTTCAAAGAATGTCTTCACAGCTAGAGGAAGTGAAGCATGTCCGCGGCTGTGTTTACCAATACCTATAAAGGACATAGAACATCACTTGTTAAAGATTTATGTGTGAGCGTTCCATTATATTTCAACAAGGGAAACCTCAGATCACTTTATGCTACTTGCTACATACACAAAATCAACATACCTGTTACAACCTGCAATGAGTTTCGTAGTTGTCTAGAAGAATTTTTTTGACTGCCGAGACCTTCCACATCTAATCTACCAAAAGGCTCTTGTGATGCCGATCTCAGAACTGTATTCTTTGACCTACCTCTATTTGGTGATACTGAACGGTTCACTGTGGATTGACCTTCTATCTTTTGCAAACGTTCTTGTAATGCTTGAACAGCTTCTGTTGCGTGGAGTCCATGCAGGTCCAACTTCCATATGTCGTTATCCTTATTTGTTATGCCTATTATCTTTTTGGCTGCCTCAGCATTTAGCTTCTCAGCTGTTAACCAATCTTCTCTTGCTTTTTCAGAATGCTGCTTGGCAGAAGCATGATCATATCTATGAAAAGCATTTTGGGCAGCTCTTGAATGGTTTGAGGCTGATCTGTTTAAAGAAAAGAAGTAGGATTTCTCAATAGCTGATGCCTGATGATACATGTTCATCTTTTAAGATAAGCGAGGGTTGAAATATGAGAAACTGACTAGTTGTAGCTTGAAATTTTAAGCCTTTAGTTTGGAATTTAAGTTCAAAATATGAACTTCGGATTGGGTAGACAAAAGCGCTCACGTGATATAAACTGAAAATGGACATGATAAATAAGTAAGTATAAAAAGGATACACGCCTTGTGTACCTGATCACTTTCAGTGCATCCTTTCGCTGACTCAAATAGAGATCATCTTCTTCCCATTCAGGCTCTATAGGAAAGGACTGAAGCCGCTGAATGATACTATCTAGTTCAGAAATATCATCAGACAACTTTTGACTGTGAGATGCATCCATCGGAAACGAACTTCCATCACTCTCTTGAAGATCATACTTGCCAGCATCTTCATATGTGGACGTGGCAGCCCTTCTGTTATTTGATGAATAACCCTCAATCTTTGAAGTTGGCACCTCAACTTCCCTACTGTTACCATTTTCTGGTTTATTATTACCAGCAGAACCCATCCCTTCCAAAAACTCTAAAGCCATCTCAAAATTATCTTCTGTGGATAACAATACATCCCTTATCAAGTTCTCATCTGCCCAGCTGTTCATTTCCTGTAACTTCATGAAGGCTAAATCATGACTGTTAACCGGCAGGATCAAAGAGCCAGGTTTGCTTCTAGAACCTCCACCACTTTCTTGGTTTCCGCAATCCTTATTCTCTGTCAATGCCGGAAATTTCGAAGGAGGTAAGAGCACAGACGAAAAAGAGTTATCAGAAGGTTCATGATTTCTTCTCAGCTTTCCTCTAAAATCTAGAGGAGATGTCGTAACACTATTTGAAACAGGCGGGAATGGATCATCCTCTACCTCGCTTTCAAGACCTTGTTTCTGTCTCTGCTTAAGATCAAACGCAGTCCAACCAGATGATTTACCTTTCATCCATGACATCTTTACACCGCACTAGCTCTCAGCATTTGATCATCTCTCATTCACCATCATAGTGATACTTCAAAAGTTTCAGTCTTTGATGTACATAAGGGCGCTAAATAACTTCAAAAAAACAAAAAACAAAAAAAACAGAAACAACACAACTCAAAACTATTTCATAAGGAACAACCATTCAACAACACAGTTTGAATCGAAATTCAATTTAAACCGACAAGACAAACCCACCCATTACTACAATCAAAACATAAGACAAAAGCACTATCCCAAAAATACAAAAATTCAAATCCAAATTTTGACGGTGATAAAAAGGACATGATTTTTAGAAGCTAAAGCGGCCGAAGAAGGTGGACTAACCTACGGCCAAAAATTCGAGCAGTCGCGCGGTTTGAATATGGTCGGAGGTGTACAGACGAGCCGGTGGTAAGATTGACGGAGAACGAAGCGATAAAAATTGCCGGCGGATATAGAGAGAGAGACGCTGCAGATTAGCATTTAATTGCGAAATTGACCTTTTGTCGAGATTTTGAAATTTTGGCCTTTTTTAATTGTCTGACTCGTAGTCGCCAACGAACGATCCATAAAGTCAACAGTAGTGGGCCGTTACGGCAAGGCCCATATTAGTCCGTCAAAATTAAAATTTGTCATATAGAGTTAAAATTGTATTTTAAATTAAGTATTTTCAGTGTAGATATTTGATAATATTTTGAGGTTTATCCATAATTTTTTAATATATTGATCAATATAAAAAAATTTGTATAATATATTAATAATAAAACATAATATTTAAAGGTTTTTTTAATATATATTATTAGTCGAGAACATGATCTTCAACTAACAAAAACAGTTGATTAGCAACTTCAAAACGTGCAATAATAAAAACCATATATGTGAGACTGGGACACGTGACTATATAAATGTAAACAGGTATAGTTGTATCCGTATTTAAGTCAGTCCGACTTTTGAAAGTAATAGTCAGTATCTCCAAGAGAAGAGAGGAACATTTCACCTAAATACCTAATAAAATAAGTGGAAAGGTATGGCTTCAGCTTCACACGCCATTACCATTTTCACTACATAAACGCCGACGGATGAGATATGATGCTAAGCTATTTTGTCGACATCATGAGACGGACAATCCAATGACTCAGCTCAACCCATTATTTATTTATTTTACTTTAAAACAAATCATTTTATTAATGTTTCCTTTACATAACATGCACTAATTGGTATTTAAACAAACAATGTGTGAAAAGCACGAGCTAGCTTAGCTATGTTTTCAACTATCTATCAATAATAATATCCATCTATAAATGTTTCATTATCAAACATGGTTTTATGTGGACACGTACACGTCAAACGCAAATTAGAAACGGTGTTTTCCTTCCGTTTTGGTTTTAGTGATTACCATTTTACAAAGAAATCTTTGTTTTTATAAATGTTTAATATTTTCATGAAGAGTATACAATAATGGAGATACAAGTTACTCAAAGCGAACTCAACCAAAATTAGGATGCATCAGACGTTTTACAAAACATGGAACATGCACATGTCTCCATGTAAAATGTAACATACGTGTACTCATCACTCTCTAAATAGTTCTTCGGATCGAAACTATATACAAAAAAAAACTCAACAAGAGTACTGTTTTTTGACATTTACATCGGGGGCATTAAAGAAGACAAGTATGGAGCATTTAAATCTTTGCTTATAGAAAATGCATTAACTGTGCCTCATTCACCAAAACCAACCTCAACAACTTGTGATGCACTCACCTTCACCTACCCAATATATTCGAGAATCTCATCACCGTACAAACAATCAATTCTATTGTTTCTTATTCGACTCACTTTCATTAAGTACAAAACGAAAGTGTCCTTTGTAATTTGTCATCAAGTTCGAGTTCACAATTTTGAGATTATGTCTCATAAGGATATATTTTTCCTCCAAAGGTTTTGTTTTGCATTTTCACTACAAGTACAGAAACAAGTTCATAAAGCAAACACAAACATTAACTTAATCATACATCGTTTTTAAAAAAAAAACACTAAATAGAACATAAGCATAAACCTTAACACATTATTTTTATTGAGCTAATTTAAGTAATTCCATGATGGTGGTGAATTGGTGATTAAGCGGAGAGTGAAGCCACGCGCTGTGCAACAAAATCCTTAATCCGCATAATTAACTGACCCGACTCCGGTAACTCAGGAAAGATATAAAACGCATGGAACATGTTTGGATACTCGATTAACGTTGCTCCTTTCCCTGATAACTTTATCCACTCGTAGTAGCTTCTCTGCCAATCCTTCAACGGATCAAACCCAGCCACTACCACCATCGTCTCCGGATACTCCAGATCCGATATATCCACTGCGTTCGGTCCTCCTACGTTAACCGCTTCGTGATCCCGGTTTACTCCCTCCGGCAACAACGCTTTCCAGCACCAATCTGTTCTGTTCGGCGATACCAGAGGAGCTCCGGCGAGCTGTTTCTCCGCTTCCGTCCTCTCTTCTCCCCCGAAGAACGGTTGGATAGAGATGAGTCCGATCAGTTTCACGGCGGCGAAACATCCAGGCGGCGAGCGGCAAACTCGGACGGCGACGTTGTGAGCGATGTTTCCGCCAGCGCTGTCTCCGGCGAAGAAGCATCTCGACAGATCAGCGTTCGCCGGGAGAATCTTGCCGCGATTCTCCTCGAGGTACTTCAGAACGTCGAATCCGTCGTCGTATTGAGCAGGATAGCGATGCTCCGGGGCGAGGCGGTAGTTAACGGAGACGACGTAAGCAGGAAGTTTCCTAGCGAACCTCCGGCACACGTTATCGTAAGGATAAGTGTTAGGGCTTAGGAAAGCGAAACCGCCGCCGTGGAAGAAAATAACGACGGGGATTTTGTCGGCGGAGACGTGTGGTGTGAAGAGTCGGAACCAGAGATCGCGGGGTTGATCGACGACGAAATCGGAGGTGGAGACGGTGTTGACAGGTTTAGGATTGGGAGGAGCGCGGAAATCGAAGAGGCGGAGGAAACGGCGGTTGATAGTTCCGTCGGGACGTTGAGCGTTATCGGTGAAGGTAGAGATGACGGAGAGAGCGATTCTTGTTTTTAACGGAATCGTTAGTTTCTGGTTTGGTTGTGACTCTGTCGCCATTTTTTCACGGTTAATGGATTTTTTTTTGGAGAGAGTTAGTACAGTAGTGATTGGTTTTGAGAAGCTAGCTCTATATATATGCTTTATAGGAATATTTTGCCAGCTGTAAATTTATGTTTTTTTATGGTTAGAACAACTAATGGAAATTATAGTATCGTGTGGAACGAGTTTTTTTTTTTGTATATACAAAGGAAAACACGTAAACGAGGATATGAAAGAAATCTCAAATATTTTAGGAATGGCTTTTAAAGTCACTTTTATTTTCTTCTTCTTCTTCTTCCATAGTATTGGTGAAGTCATTTTCACATGGCCAACGCAAATAGAGTAACATAAGAATAGTAGACGTAATCAATGTACATCTTGAAGAGGAGCAGGGCAGAGCAATTTTCTAATGTCAGAAACCTGCAATCAACTAATTTTACAGTCTCATTCAATTCTATGTTAAATTCCATGGGCCAAGTCTGTAAACTGTAATGTGATGATAATTTTCTATAAGTAAAATATCGATATCTATATATATACAATACCTTGTCGGTGGCCTTATATGAGTTTTGTTTTATGATGAATTTGATTTCGTTATAAGCTTATATGGTTTCAAGAATGTGATTTCGTTATAAGGTTTATATGGTTTCAAGGATGATTTCAGTTTCACAAACATATCACGACTACGACCAGTAATTATGGTACCGGTCTCTATTGTATAGTACATAAATAACTAACTTAGCATATGGTGTGTTGTGTCAACATCCAAATAAAGAACCAATGCACTAGTAGGATTAGCATATACTTCAACCGGATATTATATGCAAAGCCAAGATAAAATTCCTAAATAATTTTATACAAAGCTTCAGTTTAGGTTCATGACAAAACCATGCTATTAGCAGTAAACACATTTATAGCTACGATTCACGTCCTTTTAAAGGAGCTATTTTTTCTGAGTTATTAGCTGACTTAACAAATCTGTTCCACAATATAAAACGATTAACGAGTATCAAAATTCAAAAACGTGGTAAATTTCATAAAACAGTACGAAAACGTGTTAGCTACAACAAATACTACTTAACACCGTCGCTAAAGTCAGATTATGTTTAAAACCCATACAAAAAAAATCATTTCTGCAATAAAAAAAATTAAATTCACTTGACATAAAATTAAATTTCATTTTTTTTTTTTTTGTCGGCAACTTGATTTCATTTATCAAGCCCAGTGGGCAGATACAGAAGGGCTGAGCCCAATAGAGGATTACAAGCGAAATAACAGTTTTAAACTGAATCATAATTTAAACAAAAGATAATAATAACATGAAATTATGATTTAGCAAGTGACACGTGGAGAGAGACGTGTTTTCTCAAAGCTACGCGTCAAGATCACAAGCACCACCGTCAAATTCGCCGGACACCGCCAATCTCCGATCTGTTGCTGTTTATCAGCCACAAAGCGATGAGAATCCTCTTCCCTTCTGTCGATCTCATATCCAATGTAAGCGTACGTCGAGATCTACCGGATCAATCATTTGAACCTGCTTCGAAATTTCTTCTAGAAACACCAATTCCGGGGAAGCTCCACCACCGACCACATCCTATGTAATGATGTAGTCTAAGATTCATGTTCGCTCATCTGCTATGAGCAAAAGGAGAGTGATGAAGATATTACTCCTCGAGCAACTGGAGAAGACGGAGAGAATTCAAGATAAACGGAGAAATCAACGGAAAGAAGTAAAGTTGGAAAGAGATCGAATCTCGCATATAGCGAGAAAGGAAACCGGACTTAGCCGGAGTTTATTAAAACTTGCACAAAGACAAGAGTATACACAATCTGGACATAGCCAGAAACAAAGCCGACCGTAGTCGGAGGACAAAAAACTTTGTCGAAAAGCTTTTCCTCTCTGAAAGGTTTTAGCGTTACGATATAGATATACCTTTTTTTTTTTTTGTTTAATGTAATTGTCAACAATCTAAAATGCGGTGTCGTTTCAATTTTCATGACATGAATGGTTTTTTAGGGTTTATCATTTTAACACTCACAATCAGAATACTCCCGGTTTCTTTACCACCGTACCACGAAGCTTCAACGTCGTTGTTTTATCTTCCTCGCTTAGTTCCTCACAAGTAAGCCTTCAAATTCCATTTTCCTTTTATACCAAACTTGATTTTACATCTCCAGTCGATTTCATTCCTAATCGTCAAATTCCCGAAGGTTATATTGTTAATCTCATAGTAGATCGGAATTAAGTACTGAAGTGCACACAGCTTCCACCTAAATTAGTCGGCATTTTCGTTGATTTGGGGTTCTTCATTTCCAATTCACTTAGCCAATTTCATTATCTCTGATTTGGGGTTCTTCATGTAATAGGATTGTGAAAGAAAGAGAGAGTAGGAGCTATGGGTTGGAAAGCTGCTGAGAAACTTATCAGACACTGGAAGATACTTCGAGGGGATAATGTGAGGACACTCTCTTCACCACCCTTGTTCTTCTGGTGGTTCCTTTAGTGTGGTTTCAGCTTTGATGTGGTGTTTAATTTGAATATACAGGTGATGATAATTCGTGGGAAAGATAAGGGTGAGACTGGAACCATAAAGCGTGTCATCCGATCCCAAAATCGTGTCATTGTTGAAGGGAAGAATCTGGTGAGATTGTCTTCAGTCACCGTTGTTCTGGATATCTTCGGTTTCATGCATTTAGAGAATGAGTGTACAAGTTCCGTTTTGGTTTTTTCCTTAATTGCGTTTCTGGAGTATGAACTTGTCTTGAATCAGAATGATGTCCTTAGCTTAACACCAATCATGGAGTTTCAGTTTTCATTTGATTCTTGTCATTACATTCGACTATTAGTTGGTCATTTACAAAAATCATAAATCGCGTCTTGTTTCATGGATACATAATTTTTTCAGCTCTTTTCGTTTTGATTTGTTCAGCTCTTTTTGTTTTGGATGTTCGAGCTTGCCGCTGGGATATACTTTGGCTATGTCCCTGTTTTCTACTGCTTGTATATATTTCTTCAAGATGTTTTCTCTTCTTCTTTATTCGCAGATCAAGAAGCATATAAAAGGAGGCCCTGACCACGAAGGTGGAATTTTCACGGTAGAGGCTCCTCTTCACGCTTCAAATGTCCAAGTTGTTGATCCAGTCACTGGGTATGATTTCACTTTGCTCTACTGTCACTAATTACTCTTCTGCTTAAGTGAGAGATTTCATATGTGTCCGTTATCTTTTCTACCTCAGGAGGCCTTGTAAGGTTGGTGTTAAGTACTTAGAGGATGGAACAAAAGTAAGAGTAGCTAGAGGCACAGGCACATCTGGTTCGATAATTCCTCGCCCGGAGATTCTAAAGATAAGGGCAACACCAAGACCCGCTACCGGTACGTATTATATCAACATCTCTCTAAACATGACGTTTATGCATTGTAAGTTTGGATATATATTAGCTATTTGGGAAAAACGTAATCATAACTTGGCCTTAAGATTTAGATGGAATCACCATTATTGGCTTATTGCCATGCATTTGAAACCTGTGTGATATGTTTTAAATCAAAGGTAAAGTAGTAGCATCATTTATTTCGGCCTTTTCGTCATCGCTAAAACAACTGATATTCTTGACTTTAATCATATATTAAAACTGCTCAATTCGCACATTTAATCTATATAATCAACACAGACTTGAAAGTAGAGGTTTTCCTACAGAAAGATTAATACTCTTTTGTTTGCAGCTGGCCCTAAGGACACACCAATGGAGTATGTATGGGAGCAGACATATGATGCTAAAACGGGAAAGGGCATGCCTGATCTTTGAGTAGCAACCTCTTTACAGTTTCCTTCCAAAAATGTTGCTGCCCCAAAGGATTCTTTTTTTCTTTATACCCCATCCATTAGAGTTTGGGTGGTCAACAGCTTGAGATGAAGTAGGTTTTGTTGAAGAACCTTTGATCCTGACTGAACGGAGTCGTTTTCTGTTATTTTTATTGATCTTGTGAACTTTTCAAAACGCCAAATAAAATCCATTGGGAACAAGTTCACGGTCTCTACTTGTCTACATAGATCGACAAAATACATTTTTGGGGTTCTAGATTTCCAATTCACTTGGCCAATTTATTATTTGTGACTATTGTATGGTTACATTTTTTTGTTTTTGTATTTTACAGCTATAAAGACGCCTAAACCTATACAAAAGCTAGAAAATCATCTAATACTAATTAAATCAGATAAACTAAACCTGATGTGCAACGAAATTAAAAATAAAAAGCAATATTGATTTTTTTGGGGATGTTTTGAAATATTAGTGGTCTAAAATAAACAAATTGGAAATATTGGAGGACTAACATGTAAATAGTTTCGCCTAATCGAACGAGTAAGATCCATCTTCGTCTTGTCTTGTTAATAAAGAAAACTCTTGAAAGAGGTTTTATAAGAAGATCCCATTGCTGTAGCTAGCAAACCCAGAAGAAGCAACTCTCGAAGAAGAACGACTGATTGATTGCATCTGATTATGGAGAGATTACAGCGAATCTTCGGAGCTGGTGGCGGTCTTGGTCACGCATCGCCTGATTCTCCGACTCTCGATACGTCGGAGCAGGTTTACATCTCTTCTCTCGCCCTCCTCAAGATGCTTAAGCATGGTAATAACCCAATCCTTCACTCCAATTACGTTACCTCGTGATTAGTGTCTATGATTTTGTTTCGCTCTTTTGATTTCTCACTTGCCCCCTTTTGTTCTGCAACTCTAGGGTTTTGAATAATTATTCGATCTATTTGTATAACTCCTAGTTTACTTTGTGTTTGATTTAATAGAGATTTGATGAAACTTGTTGGAAATTCGCAGGAAGAGCTGGGGTTCCTATGGAAGTCATGGGATTGATGCTTGGAGAGTTCGTGGATGAGTACACTGTGAGGGTTGTTGATGTTTTCGCGATGCCTCAGAGTGGTACTGGTGTTAGTGTTGAAGCTGTTGATCATGTTTTCCAGACTAATATGCTTGACATGCTTAAACAGACTGGAAGGTAACTAGTTTCTCTCTAAACACATTTACACTTAGTGAGTTTCTCTAGACTGGATCTGATTCTTCTTGTATCATATTTCAGACCTGAAATGGTGGTTGGTTGGTATCATTCCCATCCTGGATTTGGGTGTTGGCTTTCTGGGGTTGACATTAATACCCAACAGGTAGGTTTTGTTTACTCACTTTGCATATTTATCTATTCATTGCTTTGTGAATGCACACGAGAATTTTGTTGTTTTCTTTATCGTCCATACTGTGTTAATGGTTGGAGCAGTATAGAATGTTGTTACTCATTATGCTCTATATATATACCTTGTTGGGATTCACTTTGGATTGAACTGCATTGTGAACATCTTTGTGCTCTTGTAGAGTTTTGAAGCTTTGAACCAGCGAGCTGTGGCAGTGGTGGTAGATCCGATACAAAGTGTTAAAGGCAAAGTGGTGATTGACGCGTTCCGCTCGATAAATCCTCAGACCATTATGCTTGGGCAAGAACCCCGTCAAACAACTTCGAACCTTGGGCATCTGAACAAACCATCGATCCAGGTGATGATCATTTAGTGAAACGTGTGTCTTGTGTTTTTAAATTGGAACACAATCTCTGATGCTGAGTTTTGGATACTATTATGCAGGCCTTGATTCATGGATTGAACAGACACTATTATTCAATAGCCATCAACTACAGGAAGAACGAGCTTGAGGAGAAGATGTTACTAAACCTTCACAAGAAGAAATGGACAGATGGTCTGACACTAAGGCGCTTTGACACTCACTCCAAGACAAACGAACAGACGGTCCAGGTATAAAAAAGGAGGGTATTTTGCAATCTTTTTATTTGTTCAAGTATTTCACTCTCATGTTCACTGATATTGTCTTTATCTGGTGTTTAACAGGAGATGTTGAACTTGGCTGCTAAATATAACAAGGCTGTTCAAGAGGAGGACGAGTTGTCACCAGAGAAGCTTGCAATCGTGAATGTGGGAAGACAAGACGCAAAGAAGCATCTGGAAGAACATGTCTCCAACCTGATGTCATCCAACATTGTTCAGACTCTAGGCACTATGCTTGACACTGTTGTCTTCTAGAGAGCTTCTCACTTCTTCAACGACTTAAAACTATTTGGCCAGAAAGTTGAGCTTTGTTCTTTTGACATCTCTTTGGTTTCTGCTGAATCTTCTCGTTTTATTTCTCATCTCCTAGCATTTACGAGGCTGTATTGTACTCTGTGATTTCGTACTTTTCGTCAAGGCCATGGATTGATATCTATTTCATTTAGTTTATTCTCTCATTTTCAGAATTTATGCTAAAGTACTTTGGCCAAGAATTTTTAGTCTTCCCAATATACACTTGGAGAACCATGAAAGTAAATTATGATGTTAAATCTATGAAAATTTGCAACAAAAATAGGAATCTTTCTGTCAGAAATAAAAATATTCAAAAATATCTAGCTGGTTTATACTTTCGTCGAGAAGAACTCAAAACAAGTAGAGAAAAAAGAGAGGAAGCAACGGCAACCTAATTTACGTTAAATTCCACAGTAAAATATACAACATGTGCTAGGATTTGTGAAAACGAGCTCCAAAGATAAGCAATAAGGCATGGACTAATAAGGCTCTTTCAAGTTCTTTGTGCATCAAACAATTCCAGCTTTGAACACAGTTGGGAGTGTGACCAATCGTTCAAACAAAGCACACTGGTTTTGGGACGCTGTGTGTAGTGTTGCTTAAAACTCGGTGTCAAAACAAGTCATGAAGACCTTTGAGACCATGGTCCTTGCAAAAGGGATGTAGCTCAAGCTATACCTGCAGTTTTAAAGATCAGAAAGATGAATGTCGACAGCTTTTGTGAAGAACTCAGAACCCATCTAAGTAGCATTAGGTACATCATTCAGTCCTAGTTTAGGGTAATAGATGGTTCGATGAGTGAATCATGTCACAACACGCCCAGACCATGTATAAATAACTAGAAATTCCAAGATAAATGCAAGAGTCTGGAACCAAAACTTCAGCATACCATATTAGACCAGAGAACTCAAGAATGATGGCCAGCAGCGTCAGAAGCTTGTTACGAACCTGTATAGAAAGATTGTTGTTAGTCAAACAAGGCATTTTCACTACCTAGTTTTAATCGAAATCTAACAATGGTTACTATATAGTGTATACAGTAAACTGAATTAAATAGAGTTAAGAAACCCACTTACATAAAGAGCACAAAATAAGGCAATGATAATGCTTGCTAGATACAAAGCAGTAGCGTAGATACGAGCAGGGTCAAGCATCATAGTCACCTGCCTCTGTGGGCCTATAAGGAATGCTGTGCTGCCATATAAAAATGACATGAAACCAAAAATCCAAGAACAGAGGAAAAAAGGGAGAAATACTAGTACAGACAGAATCGCACACACCTAATGCGATATTACAAGTTTACAACCCAACATAAAAATCAAAATACGGACCTCCCAAGTGCCATCAAATTTCCGAGAGTAAACGTGATGCCAAACTTGACCGGATTGAAGAAAACAAGCATCGACTGCATTTTCAAACAGGTAAGATATAAATAGATATATCCAAAGGACTTAACTTTCCCAAGTGATAGCTAAAGGGTAAAACAATTCAGGATAGTGAATTCTGACATGGATAAAAGTTGTACTTACCAAAAGTGTACAGGTTAAGCCTGCTGACAAACAAATTGCAAACCCATAGAACCTCTGTTTTCATGAAGAGAAACGACACATTTAGCAGAAGATAAACCCAAACTCAAGAAGACACATTCCACAGATTTCTATAAACAAGACAACACTACAACTTCACAGGATAACCTCAGCATACTAATCAATATAAAACTTAATCATCCTTCTTCTCCATAAAACCAATTATCATCAATATGAAGATAAAACTGCTGAACTGTAATTTCAAATCACTTGAATGTTATTGATCACTTGATCTACATGCAATAGAAACTCACTGACCTCTCTACATCAGTTAGCTTACGAGCCTAACTTCTCTAATTGGACGATTACTCAGTAGTCAGTATGCATTTAAAACCAATCGTTGCGATAAAACTACAATCACAAGAAAGAACGAAATGCAGAGTACTTAATCGAAGAGAACAACCATCTAAGGGTAAATAAGAACCTGTTTGGTAGTCAAAGCGCAATTTCGATTAAGATCTTCCATGAACGAAAGCGAGCTTTCTTCCTCGGCAGCTCGTTGCTCGTCTTCAACCTCCATACCTACCAACATCTTCATCTTCTCAAATGCCTGATTCATCTTATCCATCTCCGCTAAGTCCTCTCTAAGCTCTCTTTATTTTCTCCTAGATCTCTCACGCTTTTCGTTTCTACAATTGTGACAGCAGAACTGAAGTATTGTTGGATCTTCTTCTCTGCACAATTATGCCATTCCTGAAGTGTAAAGATGAAAGAGACGCCTTTCTTCGTTTTGGTTTTGTTAGAAAGGCTTTAGTATTATTGGGCTTCTTTCACGTTAAAATAAACCCAACTCGTGGTCCATTAGAAGCCTATCTACTGATCTAGCCTTTAGCGAGATCCTCTGGTACATTCACTTATATAGAAACTAGAACTTTGACCTGGTCTATTAATCAACACTTGGTCAAACCCTCTTGATTTATATGTAAAATAATTTTTAGCCATAAACGTAAAAACATAACGACTGTCCTCAGACAAAAATCATATGTAACGTAATATTTTTGTTTTTGTTTTCTATTTAAGTTGGTCAATTATTTTTGTGATTTGTTTAGGTAAGTATCTCATGATTTTTGTCTCTAGGTATATTTGAGTCATACATATTAAATATAAAAAATTGTACGCACAAATGATATATGTAACATTTATTTTTGTATATGTAAATATATATAAAATACTAAAAAGTAATGTAATTATGTTTTCTTTGTTATATATAAATTTATCAGTTATATGTAGTCACTAATTTGTCTTGTAATGTTTTTTTTTGTACACTATAGATAATAATTTTTTTATATTATTTGACGTTACTAATTGACAGTCACTCTTCTTTTTAAGTAACGGATCCGGAAAAACTGAAAAATCATCACGATTTCTTCAAACTATTTTGACTTCGACGCTTTGGTTAAATGGATAAACGTTACTAGGTTATATACTCCATACATTATAAACTAGAAATGGGCAAAATTAAGTTTTCCCAAAGATACAGAGAAAAAATAAAAAAGTAAAAAACACACAGAGGTACAGAAGTAAAAATAAAATAAAATTGAATGAAATTTTTGGAGTCCGGACTGGATAAAAAAAGATTTCGTCATTTTAAAGCTTTCTCATTTGTCTCTACCTCTTCTCTTTCATTTTTATTTCTCCGGACTCTCACTCGTCAGTACTCTCAGTCTCCGGCGCTTGAATCGCGCATTCTCCGTCGTTTACGCTGTAAGTTTTCTTCCTTAGAGGCTTCGATCGCCTCTCCATAGACACTCTGTCCTCGATTTCTTGGTTTCTTCGTCGGAAAATTACCCTAATGTTCTCGATTGTCACGGTTTTTGTGCTATGGGTTACTTTTTGTTTTTGCTTTTCCTATTATTTTTCATGGTTTTGTGTAACGAGGTTCTGCGACATACTGTTTGTGTTCGGTTTGTTGTGTTTTCACCGTTTAAAAAATGATCGGAGTCTTTGACAGTGAAAAGTCTTTAGTTTTTATTTTGGTTTTCATGTCATAATATCGGATTGATCTACCTTTTTTTTTTTTTTTTGCTTTGATGTTTGTTTGTTTAGTCTATGTGTTGTTGGGTTGTTGTATTCATCACGCTCATGTGTGGATTTTGAGATTTTGCTGCTGACTGTGGGTTTCTTTTTGATGGCTCTAGGTTCAGAATGAGTTCTAGGGCTGGTCCAATGTCTAAGGGTAAGAGCGTTTCTCAGGGTGGTTCCAAGCCTGAGGTTGAACAGTTGGCGCAAGCTTTGGCAGGGACGAAACTGGCCCCTTCACAAGATGATGGAGGAGATTGGGAGGTCATTTCCAAGAAGAACAAGAACAAACCTGGCAACACTTCTGGAAAAGCTTGGGTTTCTCAGAATGCAAACCCGCCTAGAGCTTGGGGTGGTCAGCAACAAGGGAGAGGTAGTTACGCGTCTGGGAGAGGTAATGGCAATGGTTGGGGCACTCAAGCTACTGATAACCGGGTCTCTGGTCGGGGAAGAGCATTGAACAAAAAGTATGATAACAACTTTGTGGCTCCCCCACCTGTAACTCGCCCTCCTTTGGAAGGAGGATGGAATTGGCAGGCAAGAAAAGGTTCTGCGCATCACACTGTTTTGCAGGAGGTTCCAAACGTGGAGGATGATGAGGATAATGCTTCTGAGGAAGAGAATGATTCTGATGCTTTGGAAGATTCTGATGATGACCTTGTGAGTGATGATTATGACTCTGATGTGAGTCAAAAGAGCCATGGATCACGGAAGCAGAATAAGTGGTTCAAGAAGTTCTTTGACAGCTTGGATAGCTTGTCAATCGAGCAGATAAATGAACCACAGAGGCAGTGGCATTGTCCAGCTTGTCAGGGCGGACCTGGTGCCATTGACTGGTATAACCTACAGCCACTAATAGCTCATGCGAGGACAAAGGGAGCTAGGCGAGTTAAGCTCCATAGAGAATTGGCTGAAGTTCTGGACCAGGATCTACAGATGAGAGGAGCATCTGTCATCCCCTATGGTGAGATCTATGGGCAGTGGAAGGGTTTGGGTGAGGAGGAAAAGGATCATGAGATTGTCTGGCCTCCAATGGTCATCATCATGAACACTAGACTGGACAAGGACGATAATGATAAGGTGAACTTCTTGTATTTCTTTCTTCTTTTATCTTCTTTTGCATTCTGCTGAGATTAGAATCTTACATTTTCAGTGGGTCGGTATGGGCAACCAAGAGCTGCTGGAATACTTTGACAAGTATGAGGCTATTAGATCACGCCATTCTTATGGTCCACAGGGCCATCGTGGGATGAGTGCTCTGATGTTTGAGAGCAGTGCCACTGGCTATCTGGAGGCCGAACGCCTCCACAGGGAGTTAGCTGAGCAAGGGTTAGATAGAAACGCCTGGGCCCGTCGGCGTAATCTGTTTTCTGGAGGTGTTCGCCAACTGTATGGCTTCCTTGCAACCAAGCAAGATCTGGAGATATTCAATCAACACTCTCAAGGTTCTCTTCCCTCAGAAATTTGATTTATGCTTTTAAGTTTTTTCATTGGTGAGTTTTGTTGGTCCTTGTGAATGTATCTGTTGTTTTCATTAAATCAAATCATTAGGCAAAACGAGGCTGAAATTCGAGTTGCGATCTTACCAAGAGATGGTTGTAAAGGAGCTGAGGCAGATCGCTGAGGACAACCAGCAGCTGAACTATTTTAAGAACAAGCTCTCAAAACAGAACAGGCACGCCAAGGTGCTTGAGGAATCTCTAGAAATTATGAGCGAGAAGCTGCGTGAAACTGCAAAGAAGACTCGTATCGTGAGACAGAGTACAAAGATGCTGCATGAGCAAAACAGAGAAGAGGTATGTTTTTTTTTACTCGAAAATCACAGAGTTGAAATTTCGTATTACCTACTGATACACTTTTTGATTGATTTTGTCTAAAAAAATGATGGTGGCTTGAAGATGGATGGACAATACCGGTTTTTCAATGATAAAATCAAGCAGATACATAAGAACAGATACGCAAAGGAGGAGAATTTTGAGAAGTTGCAGCAGCAGGAACGTGCTAAGGTTGTTGAGAATACTAGCAACGACGATTGCCGAAAGAGGTATATGCACTTTACATAACCGCTCTGTTTTTTTTTTTTTGTGTTTCCAAGTGCAAGAGTAACTAAATTGTTCTGGGTTTTTGATTATTCTGCAGAGCTGAGGAGGTGTCAAGCTTCATCAAGTTTCAAGAGAAAGAGATGGAGGAGTTTGTGGAGGAGAGGGAAAAGGTGATTATAGAGCAAGAGAAGAAGATAAAAGAGATGAAGAGAAGGCATGAGGAGGAGGTGCTTGATCTGGAGAGAGAGTACGATGAGGCTTTGGAACAGCTCATGAACAAGTATGGTGGCCTTGACAATGCAGATGACTGAGACCGGGTGTGTTGTTTTGCTTTTGGTATATGTCGGCAAATAGGAGATTTGAGAGAAACTTTATCTTAAGGAGATTATAGACTATTATTCTCCAATTTTAAGTAGACAGATCTAAGGAAGCACTATAGTTCTTGTTACTCAGACCAAGTTTCCTAAAAGTATTTTGTTTTGAGTAAGTTTTAGTTTCCTATGAACGTTTAAGCATATTTAAACAAACTAGAATCTCAAATAGGCAGTGTCACGCTTCTATGCCTGAACATGAAGGAGTACATTTAATATTTTCGTAAAGTTTGGGAAATAATAGTAAATATCTAAAAAAACAGAGGTCTTTGGATGCAAATATACTTTTTGGTTTAAAGAGACGTGGTGGTGCCATAAAACACTTGTACTTGCATCGTATTGGAAGAGCATCGTCACGACTCATACCACCAAGTCCAAAATCTATTTGTTTGTTTAATCTCTTCTTCCTTTCAGATTTTTATATATATAAAATTATAAATTAAAATAAAGGAATCCGATAAATATCTCTCTATCGATCGAACTCTGCTTTAAACAAATCTTCTTTTAGGCGAATTCACATCTCAAAGCTTAGCTTTGGATCCGCCGTAACCAAACCCAATCCTTCTTCTCGATTCGTGAAATATGGCCCCGCCGGCAGGACAAACGGCGGCGGTGGCTGGAGCTGCTGGAGCCGACGGTGCTCAACCGCAGCAGCAGCAGCAGCGTGGATTTGGTTCCACGATTTCCGGAATCGTTAGAATCGCCGTCTTCTGGTACTTTGCTTCCAAGTTCTTCTCACCTAAACAGAAACCTTTGGATCCCTCTGCTCCGTCTCAGCTCATGACTAATCTCTTCCATAAAGGCGAATCATTGGTAATCTCATAACTTCGATGATATATTCTTACTTCTTCTGCTATTGAATTATCTCTTTCCCCTTATTCTCTGTTTTTTTTCAAATCGTATGTAACACGCAGTGTTTGTTCTGTAAACAACTTTTTCTACTGTGTGATTTAGTTATGTATGACCACTGTTTGATTAGATGATTAGGGTTTAAAGATTTGATTTTTCTTTATTTTTTTTAGTTTTGTTTCTAAATGCAGCCAATGCTTTTTTATCTGCAGGATATGTGGTTATATTTGTCAGAGCAAGAGAAGTTCAATGACTATGGCAATGATAAAGCACTCTATTGGCATGAGACGAATATACCTTATGCTGTATGGACACCAGAGAGTATTAGGACCAAGTCACTTACGTATTATCCCTCTGAGGTAATCATCACTTACTTGGCTGTTTTGGTTTCTTTCATATTTCTTCCTCTTATGTCAATGTGCTGAGTTGTATTACGATTTTGTTTTGTTCGCAGACGCTACAGAATAATGGAAGTCTGTATGCGCATGTCTTCTTTGCTCGATCTGGATTTCCCATAGACCCTACTGATCCTGAATACCAACCTCTTAGTAGTTTTAGCAGGACTCATCGTAAGACTTCCTTTTTTAGTAATCTAAACACTTAGCTTTTTTGGATTATGAGGTTTCTGTGGTAGCTGAATTGGACTGGTCTTTTTACTATTGCAGCTGTGGCGACTTACTTTCCAAAGCAAAAGAAAAATAAGAAGAAGAGTCTCTTGGGCAGTCCCAAAGACTCTGATGAATCCGAACCAGAAGTTGAGGTATGCCTCTGCAGAAGTTTTCTTTGAGGAAACTTTACATATATAGTTATGTGTTTTCTTGAACTCTGATGAGTTCGATAGATGTTTAATGAACTAACGCCAGCCGTACTTCACAGAATGTTGGTGATAAGAAATCAGATCTCAAGGTAGAGGTCCCTGTGGAATGGGTATCCCTCTGGAAACCGAATGTCACAATTAACCTGGTTGATGATTTTACTCGGTAAGTTGGTTCTGTTATTTTTTGTAGTTTAAAAAGAATGAAACTCTAGAAGCACTCAATGCTGACTAATGTAAAAACTAAGATAAGATCATGATGGATTCGCTTTCTATGTTGATGTAAGGTGCACTATAAAATCTTAAACAATTGCAGGGGAGACGTTTTAACCTAACTAATTAACATTAACACTTATATGATGACATCTTATCCCTCTTTTCTCTTTGACTGTCTGTCAATATTGAATTTAATATGACTCTATACTGGTAGACTAATATCTAGTTTCACTTTCATGACAGATATTCACAGAATGGTGTACCACCAAACATTGCTCCTCGTATCCTTCAATTTCTTTGACAAAAGAGTGACCTGCTTATTTATTATTTGAATTTTTTCACAACTCTCGCTGCCTATGTTTTCTATAACATTTGAAGGCACTATCCATGGGAATGATGCATGCCTTTTTAGCATAAGCTGGATCAAACTTTTTCTGAAAAAAAGTTGGATCGATAAGTTTTGGGTCCTTGAATGGTCAAAAGTAGTGTCATGTCTCTTACTTTGTTTATGTGTATAAGGTGCTCAATAGAATCTTGTTTTCCATTATTTAATAGGTGGAATGGGAATTTAATTAGAGGGTTGTCATTTTGTTTGTGATTGTCTACTTGTCCAGTTTGTTATATGCTGTACTTAACTTTATATTTGCAGACCTACTGGTAGAACCTACTACAGGAAATTACTATCCTACAGTTTACTTCAATGAGTTTTGGCTGCTAAGGGACAAGTTCATTCCAGTCAATGAGACAGTCTCAGAACTACCACTTAATCTGGAAATAAGTCCCATAAGCATGATGAAATGGCAACTGTTTCAGCAAGTTGATCAGTCTTTCCAGATGCAGCGTAGCTACGGAAGCATGCTTGACGGTGAATCTGACGAACTAAAGGTAAATATGGTTTCTTATATCAGCATCTTCTATCAATGAACTTATGATTTGTGCTATTAACTTTTGAAACTGGTAGGTAGAGAGATCCTACTGGTTATATTCTTTACACGCCTTTGGTTTCTCCCTGGAGCTGATTGTAAATATTCTTTTGTTACAGAGGGTGTTTTTGGAAGGAAATCCCTATCTGTTGGGCATCACTATGTTTGTTTCGATGCTTCATTCAGTGTTTGACTTCCTGGCATTCAAAAATGGTAAGTAAGACCCAAATCTTTCCTTGAGATTGTAGGAAAGATTGTTGAATTTTTACTTATCTTTTGCCTACCGTGCAGATATCCAATTTTGGAACAAAAACAAATCTATGGAAGGACTGTCTGCAAAGTCCGTTGTACTGAACTTTATTTGTCAGTTTGTTATCTTCCTCTACTTGCTTGACAACGACACTTCATGGATGATATTGGCTAGTTCTGGGGTCGGTGTCTGCATTGAATTCTGGAAGATAGGGAAAGCCATGCGCATAGAGGTACTTGTAATATTCACATATTGATTTATGATGTTGTTGCTTTACATATAAACATTGTCTAACATTTAAACTTAACAGGTTGATCGAAGCGGAATGATTCCAAGGTTGAGGTTCCACGATCGTGAATCTTATGCAAGCAATAAAACTAAGGAGTACGATGACATTGCCATCAAATTCTTATCCTACGTGCTCCTCCTCCTTGTCATTGGCTTATCGATATATTCTCTCGCTTATGAACGCCACAAGAGTTGGTACTCTTGGATCCTGTCTTCACTAACAAGTTGTGTCTACATGTTTGGTAATAGCCTTCACCATCCTCAAAAGACTGTTGAGAGTCGCTCATTGTAAATTTATCTTGAGTTTGGGGTTGTGTGTTTTGCAGGATTCATCATGATGTGTCCTCAGCTGTTCATCAACTATAAGCTAAAATCAGTGGCACATTTACCATGGAGACAGATGACTTACAAGTTCCTCAACACCATTATCGACGATCTCTTTGCCTTTGTCATCAAAATGCCGATTCTACATCGACTCTCCGTATTCCGAGATGGTGAGTAATATCCATCAAATCCCTCACTAATTGGATTCGGATTTCAGAAACAGGCCTTTCTAATGGATAGTGTGTGTTTTTTCAGATGTGATATTCTTGATATACTTATACCAAAGGTGGGTTTACCCAGTGGACAAGACACGTGTTAACGAGTTCGGTTTTGGAGGTGAGGATGAAAGTGAAGAGAAGAAGTTGATCACAGAGAAAGAAGAAGAAGACAAGAAAACAAACTAGTCTTCTTCCTTTTTTTTGTGGTCGCACTTTCTAAACCAATTTTATTACAACAGTTAAAATTATAGTTTCTTGATTTCTTTTTGTTTTCACTTATAGAAGTTTTGTTGAAGTTTACTGTCAACTTTTTATAAGACACATTATAAATCAGCTCCTTCGTTTTTCATGAGAGAACGTAACTAGCTTCAAACTGTTAAGAGCATAATTCCAATTACTTACTAGTCAGAGAAAAAGTTGTTAAAAGCAGAAACAGCAAGTTCTATCATATGAAATGTTTTGCTACAGAAGTCTCTAGAATACTTCACAAAAATGAAAAATTTAGACATTCATCGACTCAGCAGGAAGAGCAGTGCCAAAGTTGAGACTGTTCCTCATACTTCTCCGACCAATCCCTCCTCCATTGCCATTCCCTTTCCTCATCATTGCCACAAATTCTCCATAGTCTATTTGTCCATCCTACAAATTCAACAATAGCAACTACCATAAATATTTATTCCAAAGCTTTTTTCATCAAAGAAACAGTAAAATATCTTTTGTACACTATACTACTCACGTTGTCTTGATCAATGTCTTTGATCATTTCATCAAGATTTGAATCCTTTATACCAAAGTCCTTCCATGCCTGTTGAAGCTCGTCGATAGTGATGTACCCGCTTGCATCTTTGTCAAAGAAGGAGAATGCAGCCACCAGATTCTCTTCCCTCTCCAGCTTGTTCAAGTGGATTGTTGCTGCTAAGAACTCTCCATAGTCAATTGTTCCACTTTCATCAACATCAGCCTAACACACACACACACAAATGAAAAGATATTGGACATTATTTTCAGAAAAAACAAATATGCAAAACGTGAAAGTTAATAAGAAAGGTGTTATTAGTTTACTGCACACAAGAGTTCTTGGATCTCTGATTCCATAAGCTCTGATCCCACACGTCTCATACTGTCTTTTAACTCTTCAAATGTGATTGTCCCGCTTTTATCTGTGTCTATCATCTTGAACAGTTCTTTGAGCCCACCGATCTCTTCCTCAGATAGTCTCTCTGCAATCACTCGTAAAGCCATCTTCTTAAGTTTGTTCATTGCAGAGAACTTTTTCAGGCGGGACACTACTGCGCAGTCCAAAGGTTTATCTGGAGCAACCTTATCATCCACAATCCATGGGTGACCTGACAGAAGAACATTTGAATCAGTTTGCTAGGAAACTTCATAACTTTTGCGAGCATGACAACTTACACAACACTTGATGAGCAGTTAGCCGCTTTTTCGGATTGCTCTCGAGCATTTTCTTTATAAGATCTTTAGCACTCTCTGAAATGCTAGGCCAAGGATTGGTCTCAAAGTCCAACTTTCCCTGTAAAATCTTTCTGAAGATACCCATTTCACTTTCTGGATACAAAACAGGACACATGAGACACAGTAAGCACTTGATGCAAAGAAAGAATGAAGCCATTAAGTAAAACCTACCTGCCCAGAAAGGAGGAAAACCACATAATAGAATGTAGAGGATAACTCCAGCGCTCCATACATCACATTCAGGGCCATAATGCTTATGTAAAACCTCAGGTGCCACATAGTATGCGCTACCAACAAGTTCCGAAAATGTTTCGCCTGAAAAAAAAACAAAGATTGTCAGAAACCAAAGCTCCATATCAAACTAATTCTACCAAAAACAGACACACCACCTCACAGTGGTCAATGCGCTCTCTCAAACTATACTAATAGATTTTGATTAGCTAACTCACATTTAGCATCTGGTTCAATCATTTTAACCATCTGGTTTAATCACAGTCTGATGCTTCATTCATATATCAACACAGTACAGAGTAAGTCACTTAAAACAAATGCAGATTCTTTAACAAAATCATCAAGTGATGAAATAATTACTCATAACATCACAACCACAATGATAGAACAAAATTAGAGGAGAATACGAACAAATTCAAACCTGGTTTGCAGAAAACAGAGAGGCCAAAGTCGGTAGATTTAAGAGAAGCATCTTCATCAGAAGAAGAAAACAAGAAATTCTCAGGCTTAAGATCTCTATGTATAACCCCAAGGGAGTGACAAGCCTCAACAACCCCAACAATAGTCTTGATAAGCTTAGCAGCTTCTCTCTCACTGTAATGACCTCTCTTCACAATTCTATCAAACAACTCACCACCTTCACAGAGCTCCATCACAAGGTGAACGCTTTTGGAGTCCTCGTACGCACTTTCTATACGGACAACGTTGGGGTATTCAGACAAGTGATGCATTATCTGGATCTCCCTCAAAACGTCATCGTAATCGTCTTGGCAAAGGAGCTTCCTTTTGGGTATGGTTTTGCAGGCGAGCTTTTGACCTGTCTGTTTATGGGTACAGAGGAAAGTGGTTCCGAATTGGCCTTGTCCGAGGACTTTACCAAGAAAGTAAATGTCTTCAACGTTTTTGGTCTTGTAAGGAAGAACCCATCTGGTTCTTGCTCTGTTTGCCATTCTTGAGAGTTTTTTATTGACTCAGGGTTTCGTTTAAGCAGAGGAAGAAGAAGAGAAACTGTTGAATGAGTAAAGAAACTGACTTGAAGGCATTGAAGAGATAGAGAGAGAGAGGGAAGTCAAGAGTTAGGAGAATGATTGATTAGCTAACTCTAATAGTAGTGCTTTTAAGATTTTTTTTTTTTTTTTTCCAATTTCCAAATACATAAATGTGAAAAATGGGAAATTCAATGAATGCTTTGAATAAATGCTTTGAATAAAACTTCTAGAGTGAAAATATATTTTCTTCTATTTATTTTTATTAATGTTATACTATAGAAATTGTATAATTTTGGTCAAACACATTAATTATGTTAACTTATACTGAAAGATAAATAGATAAAGTTAAAATACAATATTAACACCACTGCAACTTTTATATTTATTCATTTTTGTAAAGTCAAATAAATATAATTGTTTCATATGTCACAATGCAATTAAGAAAAAATCTACTAACTTTAAAGATGTCTAAAAGTATAGACTGATTAAATTAATAACAAAAAAGTGGTTGAATAGTTTAAAATTGTGATAAATAGATAAAGAATATCTTAAAGTTCATAAAAAGAAGTATGTCTAATAATTTGAAGAGGATATGTACGTACTTAAGGCACTAAATAAAGGCAAAAACGTCTACTTCTCTTCAATACGAAGGAAAAACAAACTTCCCAAACCTAAATATATATATTCGTCACACTGTATTTACTGAAAATATCAAGATTTTTTGCAATCATTTGGAAACGAAGATATGCAAAAAGACAAATTCAATTCTCTTTCACACGCAATCTTTGATTTGTGTCTTTTGCCTCTCCTCGGGTTATTGTCAATGTCCACATTTCTATATCCAGTTTCTATCTTCTCCATCTAACAACAGTGATTGAGTTCGCAACAACAAACGACCTGCGTTACGAATTAAAGCTGCACACAGAAACATTTGGTCTTTTTTTTTTTTTCTCATAAGAAATTTTATTGATATCATACAACATACAAACTTAGCCCCAAGAACCATGGATACATCAGCCCGATAACATGATTCGGGATAAGGAAACAAACTTAAGCCTACGATTATGGAATATCTAGATTTCTTACAACCTTCACTTACAGTTGCTTTCCAAAGATTTGAAAAATATAATCGCCAAGAAACTATCAATTTCATATCTGATTCTCAAGTCTTCTTGTCTTCACTTGATAATAAAGAGACTTCGGCAATGAACACTTTTGCTTCCTGAATTGGCATAACGGAACCTCGACTGAGGCGAACTGAAACCGTTTTAAAAAGCCATGGCCGGTTTTGTCGAACGAAACGACATCGGTTGTGAGGAAACAAATAACTATCCAGATATCGATCAATCTGGTTAAAAGTTCTATTGGAAGAGACTACGAGAGGGAGCCGCCCAAACGGCAACACCAAAGCCAAACACACAACTTGTGAACGGCGGTGGATCGAACCGAAACAGAGCCAAGGAAAGCATTATGAAGGATGGAAGAAGAAACATGTTAAACCATAATCCAGCAAAACCACAAACACATCCAAGTTTTAATTATTAGCGCCAATAAGTAGGCGACGGCAAGTCCGGCACACACCGGTAACATAAGCTCGAAGATCGAGACGGCAAAACACGCCGGAAAATTCCGGACAAACAAAAACCAGAATCATTCGAAATCAATTCTTCAAACGAAAGAATCGATAGTCCGAAGATCTGGAGACTAAAGCCGAATCGATGTTGGAGATATGAGAGCCTCCAAACACCGATCGGAAACAAAAACAGCAAGAACTTTGATTGACCTGCTTTGAGAGAGAAAGAGAGCTTTCTGATGCGGAGTAAAAGAAGAATATTATACAAATCCAAAATTGTATCAGTTCGAAAACGACTTGCGTTACAAATTGAAGCTCTCAAGAAGATAATACAAAGCATTTTATAGTGCATTTGTAGAATTAATTGATATGAAACTGAATGTACACAATAATGTATAAGGACGACCACTTTGGTCTCGAAGCAGCTTCATTCTTGAGCATGCTAGCTTAACCCCTCATCATTTTTGGTTCATAGCCGCCTGTTCGAGATGAAAGAAAGTAAGATATGAGAGAGAGTTAAAATGAATGTTTCAGTGAATCAGGTCAACAGGAATATGCTGGGAGTAGAAAAATACCTTTCGGAGTCTTTGCATGACTGCGTCTTCATAAGCTTGATAACCAGCACCTACTATGTTGCTTTGCGGTTCTGCTTCTGCAGACCTCTTAGCGGTCGGAAAATCGGTTTGGGCTGCTTTCTGAAGAGGTACAACCAGCAATGGATTAGAGAGATCGCCACACAATGTCCTCGTCGCTGCAACCTGTAAGGGAAAAAATCCATGATTAGATCCTTGATATATAAGGATAAAAAAGAACCGAAACTAGTAATATACTAGTAACACTTACAGCTCCATCCTTTGTAGCCATTACAATAAGAGCAGAGCATTTCTTCTTGGTACTCCTAATAACAACATCTTCAACCTGACCAAACTCCGAAAACACTTCTCTTAGTCTTTCTGCTGTATACCCTAGACCACTTGTTTCCCATGAAACCTTCAACATTCTTTCTTTATCGAGTTGAACACTAGCTCCAGCACCGCTTCTTTCTTCTTTTCTCTTTTCATCTACACTACTCTCTGAGGTTTCAAAACCACTTTTCTTCTTTGCATGTCTTGCACGTATCCTCTCTATCTCTTCCTTAAGCTTCCTAGCGATTCTCTCTTCTTCATCATAAGGCTTAGCCACAGAATCAGGAAAAAAAGCAGAACGCTCCCTTTCCTCCAGATCTGACATCATCTTACGCCTCTTGGAATCTACTTGTGATTTCTTCTGTTGCTTCTCGCGCTGGATCCTAAGAAGATCATCAAACAGCTTCCGGGCTTTATCATCTTTGAGAACCTCATAAGAGGTCTTGAGCCTCTGAAATTTATCATGAGCATCAGGATCATCTGGACGTTTATCCGGATGCAAGTCCAGAGCTTTCAATTTGTACGCTTTTGCAATCTCCTTCTCGGTAAACTTCAGAGCTTCCTCTCCAGAGGGTAAGCCTAGAACTATGTAGTGATCAACAAACCCCTCCATCTATTTCTTCTTCCAAGCCGCACCACCCAACTGCAGATAACCACAAAGAAGTTAGTATTCTAAAAAAGCTTTTACAAATTTGAAAGCACAATAACAGAAAAATGAAAGGTGACACACAAACTCTGCAAAATATCGTAACAGGCTTCAAAAAAACATTACAAGAATAACCGTGAAACACAACTCAAGGTGTTTCATGCTCTTACCCTATACATCAAACTTAAGCTTGAAAAATCTAACATGAAAACAACAGCCAATGAAAGCAGGAAAAAGCAGATGATGATTTGCATCTTGCAATCACTCTTTTTTCACAAAGGGAAAACCTTTAGACATAGTTAACATAAAACCTAGGATATCTTAAAGACACTTTCACCATTTGGTGGAGCTAATTCAAATTTCAGAGCAATTTGTTCAAAAAATTGAACCCATCAAAGATCATCATGGAACAAGAAGTTCAAGTAATTAAAGGCTATGAAGTCGGAAATTTAACCTAAAACCTCAATTGATGTTTAATTATAATACAAAGCTTTGTTCTTCTTTTACTTCCGGCAATCAAAAACATCAAATTTGACTATGTCGGATAACGTACCTTTCGAAACTGGGAAGACACCCAAATACAACACAAAATCTCCGATGACAATTGAAGTGGAATCCCTACAAACCAAAGCGAAACCCTAGAACTTGGAGGACGCTTCCTCCTCTTCGAAATTAACGAGCAAGAACAATCGGAGAGAGAGAGAGAGAGAAATTAGCGGTTGAGAAATCAAGTCACCACCTGCGAGGGAATTGGTATCTAAGAGAGAACAAGAAGAATCGATTCGATTTCGTTTTAGGGGTTTGGCCAATTCTCAGATTTTTAAAATTTGTATCGAACTAAAACCACGAACCGGCCGGTTCTGTCTGAAATTTGTACCTGTACCGAAATTTGTATCGAAACTTGTATCGAAATTTGTACCAGGAACCGGCCGGTTCTGTCTATCAAACTACCTGTACAAGTCTCCAAAATATTCTATGTAGTAGGTTGGTGAATCGATTCGTTTAGAGCCTAAGCACTGTCACAAAGAGCAAAACAGTGTTTGATAGTTCCTTTAGCTGCTGCCCTGCTTCGGCTTTCCAAGTTACCATTTCTTCAAGGATACTTGTATCAGAAGATGCAATGTTTGGTATATCTTGATACTATATAGTGAAGCAAAGACTGTGAGATAGATGATGGGAGGTGGTGAAATGACATCAACTCAGAAACAAACAACAAGGGTCTAGAGAGAGGCTAGAAGAGTTTCTAAAATTGATCATTCAATTCAAGTGAAACACCAGACCAATGATTTCAATATGTTTTTGACTACCTCACCTGGTTGAGAATGAATAATACTTGGGTCAATATATTTGATCTTTGAAGGACCTTGAGTCATGTCGGCGACAGCTATGACCTGATTGGAGCTTCTAGATTCACCTCACTTATATCTTGTCTATGTCTCTGCAAATATAGCTTTCTTCTCTCCTTTGGTTTTTTTAATCCATATTCACTAAATTTACAAGTCTCAAAACATCACATTTGATATATAGTTACTATTGATATCCCCAATAACAATTCATATCGCAAGATCAAGAGATTTCAAAACAAGGAGAGAAAAGAGATTACTCAAAAGCTTCATTGTTGAATAAGAGTCATCAGAGAGAGAATATACAGCAAAACAATTACCATTTAAGTACCTCTACCTTCAATATCACTTAAAAACTTGTTCTATATGACTTACTTAAGTCCTACCTGTTCCTAAGCTTCTCAGATGCTACTGATCTCTAGTCTCTCTTTGCTTTTTTTTGGTTTAGTTTTATCAGAAACCCTGTACATGTTCTCTAAGGGATTCTATGCAGGTGGAAATCGACTAGTTAGGGCATAACCACTGATCAATTTTGGCCTAGTCTTCACGGGTAACGCCAGTTGGGTTGATTCTGTCCCTTAAGAGCAAGGACAGCATTTGATAATTCCGTAAGCTGCTGCTCTGCTTTGGCTTTCCAAGTCACCAACTCCTTCAAGATTTCCTGTGCAAAGATAATTCTCAAATATTGATTACTTCAAATCAAGTACAGGTAATGTGAAGTTTTGTAAAAACTGTCTAATTAACTGCATGCATATCAGAAGATGCAATTTGTGGTAGTGAATAAAAGCAAAGACTATGAGAAGATGGGCGGTGTTAAAATGGCATCTACTCAGACAACAGCAAAATTCTAGAGGGTAGAGGGTTTTCCAGAATTGATCAGACACCAGACCAATGCTTCCTATATGTTTTACTAACTCACCTGAGACTGGATAGCTGGGTCGTCAATGTCTGATTTTGGACCTAGAGTTATTGAAGAACCCGGAGTCAATTCAGCTTTGTCCTGACTGGAGCTTCTGGACTCACCTCTAGTCATGCAGCTAAACAGAGAAACAAAATATTAGACCATAGTAAACCATAAACTCTACTCTTGGACCAAAACAAACAAATAACTGCTCTAACCTCTCTGTCCTTTGTATATCGATGTTGACCAATGACTGTTCCTCAAACAAGGTATGGTCTTGGAGGGAGCTTTTGCAAGGATTTGGCAGAAGCGCATAGGTATCCGGCCTGACAGCTTCTGGTAAACCATCAATAAGGTCATCCCATGGTTCAAAACCATTCGCTGTAAAATCATCCAAGTTGGCATTCTTCAATATATGTTCCCAATTTTCGGGACCTGGACTGAATGATGTGCTCCCATTTGGCTGCAGATTGCTCAGAGAGTTTGAAATTCCAACCAACTTCTGTTCTACTTTATCTTTCCACGATATCAATTCCTTAAACATGCCCTGTGAAAAAGTGAGACATGGTAGACAAAAGCTTTATCAGTTTACGATCATCCCTATTGAAGAAGCTTTAAACATATAGTTTCAAATTAGTTAATTGTCTCAACCTGAGTTGAAGTCAACGAATTAGAGATCTCCAGAATTTGCTTATCAGTATTTTCCCTCCAACTCATAAGATCTTTGTATAGTTTCTGGGGAGAATGCAAACAAAAATATTTGAATCACTGATATGCTTATCTTAACACATTCCTCTTTATAAAAAAATGATCTCAAAGTCACCTCATTTGCTTCAGCTTGATCTGGTAACTTTTGCTTTGATGCAAGCTCTTTGATATCACTGCTTACCACAAAAGAAATGAGAACTGAAGCACAATCTGAACTCTCAAGGAAAGCAAAAATCGAAGCTCAGAGTATTGCAAGCATATTACCTCTTCATTTGCTCAATCTCTCCCAAAAGGAGCTTTGACGAAACCGCAGATGGATCATGTAATGCAGTCTGAGCCTTCCACCAAGAAGGGGGAACCCAAGTAGGGTCAGGAATTCCGGATTCAAGTTTAATTTTGACAAGGTCAGCACTTTCAAGCCAATACTGCATAGTTCCATCAGTATTGTAACACCTCCTAAACCGATCAGCACCACCAGGTGTAACTTTGCCATCAATATGCTTCAAAGAATGGTCCAAGAGCCCAGTATCACCTATCTTACTTCGAGCAGTAACTCTTAAAAGCTGTCGTGAAACAGGAGACTCAAAGGAAGCACCTTTCTCTTTCATTACATCCGCTAATGTTTGCTCCGCAAACTTAATCCTGCGTATAAAATAAATAAAGAACAATGCTTTCTTCATATAAAAAGATGAAAGAAAAGGGTAAAGCATGATGAAATTAAAGGGGTTTTGCTTACCTTTCATTGTTCCATCGAGTGGTTAACCTTTTCTGAGGTATAATAAGCTGCTTATCCTCTACGCAGCTATCTGAAAATCTTCTAGATCTTCCTCCACGAGTGAGTCGTTTCCGTTTGAGGAGTCCACAGGTAACAAGAGGACCAGCTTCTTCTTCCTTCTCTAGCTTGACTTCAACCAGGGCGTTGTTTTCAGATGCGTTACCTTCGTCTTCTTCTTCTACTTCTTCTTTAACCTGAGTATCTCCGGGTTCGCGCTTGGTAATCACCGTCAATGGACCAGCCATATCGGAATCATTCAGCTCCTTCCGACAAATCTTCTTGCCCGAACGTTTCCGGCGATGTCTGTAAAAAACATTTCACCGCGACAACGGAAAAAAAAAAAAAAAGAGCCGTCACCAGTTAAGCCTTAAAATCAACGACGAGCTAGAAATGATTGAAGAAATTAGGGAGAAGATAAGCAAAACCCAACATGTTATAGATCGCGGCTAGGGTTTTTTCTCTGAGAGGAGGCGACATTATCAACACTGAGGCGGCGCAATTCTCTTCTCACAGCATTAAAATCGACGCCATGGGGAAGAACAAGAAAACACGGATCGCGATTGAAATTGAAAACAGTAAAAGGTTAAACCTAGAAATTTAGGGATCAGAGCGAGCACCGTAGAAGAAGAAGAAGATGATGAAGAATAAGAAGAAGACAAGACAAGAGATGAGCAGAGCGATATGAAAGAAATAAAAGCAGCGCAAGTAGAGAGAGTGAGCGAGTCGAGAGAGAGAGAGAGAGAGAGCCCTAAAACCGCCAAAAATCCCTAGAAACCTTCTCTTCTTCCCCCTTTTCAATTTTGCCGTTAGAGGTAATTTTTTTGTTCTTTATTTATCTACTTGGAAATAAATAGTATAATAACCAATATTATACCGACGCGTGTTCAGGTTTTAAAATCTACTGTGGACTTTCTCACAGGTGATTATTTAATAATAAAGATGGAATTTATTTTGTTTGTCGTCTTCTGCTCTTTGCGCGGATACGCGATACATTAAAGTGTAGTATGAAAAATTGAAAACAAGTAAAAAACAAAATAGTTTTTTAAAACAAGTAAAAAACAAGTAAAAAACAATTATAGAGAGTAATGTAAACCTTAGTTTTATAGGTTTAAGGATATGAGAATGTGTGGTTCCTTTAGAGACTAACAAAATGAGGGAAGAACATTTTAAGTGAAACAAAATGTCTAACCAGAGGAGACCTATTGGAAAAATGCTCATGATGTTTTTACGAAGCTTTCTGCAAAACTAGATCCCAGAAACGAACATCTTTCTCTCAGTTAAAAAATGTGTGCATATATTGATACCTGAACCTAACCTGTTTGGTTCTCTTCAAACTTTCTTCTTCTTCTCCAGATTCGCAGTCACAGCTCTTTGCTTGTGTTTCCAAGAAGATATCTTACCAGGGAAAGCCCACCTGAGCAAACGCTCCCACGAGTAGCAGATGATGAACATTAGTGATGCCCACAGGAGAAGCTTGTCCCTCAGACCTTGAGGTAACGGAACCAGCTTGAGCGAATCGTTCAGATCCCTAAACAGATCAGAGGCGATGACGGTGAAGAACCCTGCTCCAGCAACGAGTGCGTAGAAGAATGGTTTGTTTTCCCTGATACTCTGGTTGAAGGGATGTCCCATGTAGTTCACAGCAAATGTTGCAACCTGAAGCATCATGCTCACCATGTACGACACTGTGTTCACCAGATTAGGATGGAAACTTGCATCTGGTTCTATGCATTCCTCGGGCATGTGTTTCTCAGCTTCCTTCACAGAGTAGATCAAGAAAGTCAAGTGAACAGCAAACTGTCCTAACAGAGAGAGGAAGAGGTACAACGAGAAGACACTCGGGTGGGGTCGCTCTGCAGAGAGGGTTTGAAGCGGCCGGGCATGAGATATGAAGAGGAAAAACGCAGCTGTTAATACTCCGCTGATTGTAGCCTGGACATCACCAAGCTTTACTCCGTCTAAGTACATAACACTTAGCACATAAGCTGTGGCCAGACAGTTCAGACCGAGAATTTTGAACATCTGAAGAGTGGTTACAAGTGTACTACGACCTTGTCTGATTATGTCTGTCACTGGGGCAACTGACGCATGTTTAGCTGTGAAGGGGGATGCCATAGATGCATCCCCAAGTTTGACAAGGGGAGCTGACCGGCCATCACCATCATCACTGTTTAGTTCATCCATCATCTTCTTCAACTTTTGTCTTTGCAATTCCGCAGCAGTTAAGTGGCGATTTTGGGGCGGGATCTTTCCTTTTGATGATCCTTCCCCATTCTGAAGTGCGGTTTTGCTTGCTGGTTCTAATGGCAGTTTGGACTTTTTTGACTTTGACTTGTCATCTTTAGACGAATCCGATGGAGACGAGGGAGGTATAGTATTCAGTAAGGCAACTCCAACATGTGCCTTCAAAAGTGAAAAAAAAAGAAAAATTAAAATTAAAAATAAATTAAAGCAAAGGCATAATTTGCATGGCATCTGCCCAGTGAAAGTCTTATATGCCCAACCTGCTTCAATGCTCCGACATCATTGGTCCCGTCCCCACACATTAGAGTCCCTCTGCCTACCGCTTTGAAAGTTGTCAAGATCAGCTCCTTCTGTTGAGGAGCAACTCTCGCAAAAACCTGAACAGAAAGATAGTCAAAGCTTCAGACTTCATTATTTAAAGATATTAAGAAATACTAAAAGGTGTATAAAAACCTTAACAAAAGGAATGACTTGCAAAACAGCAGATGTAGCCTGTAGCATTTCAATGCTGTCACCTCCAATGCATAAATCATGGGTCTCTGCAAGGGTTTCGATCTCTTTTTCACTGAAACAGTAAAAACAAGTCATACTCTTTTAGTCAGAAGCAGGATAATGAAAGAAACCATCTAAGTTCAGATCTTTTCTACTTGAGCAATCATTACAGCAGAGCAAAATATTGCCAGTCAAAGGCAAAACACCACACTAAGAGGCACACATACTTCAATGACAGTTAAAAACTACAAATGGCAGCAAGGGGAAAGAGAGACTATTGTGACAACGTATACTGCTGGTATCACGTGACTATCTAAGAATAGGAATTTGCTTTAATTCTACAGAATTCTACAGTAATTGTGTTAAAATAAGGCTGCACCTGTAGGGTATGATCTCCTTCTCATCAGGTGACACCCATTTGTATTCATTACCAGTTCCTGATCGACCAAGAATTAGAACTGGGTTTGATACAATATGCACTTGGCCTGCAACATGACAAGCTGTCAAAGCTTGGTCACCTGTTATCATCACCTGGAATCATGAAAGAAGGATAAGACACCCCATATATTAATTAATAAGATTTGAATGAGCATCCTGCTAAACAAAGATGAATACAGAAAACGGAAATCAAAGAACCCAAACCTATAAATATATACTCTGAATGAACAACTGGTAGTGATAGGAGGTCCAGTAATCTATATGTGTGCATTATAAGTTAAACAGAATAATTACCAAATCATGGGATGAATTCTTCAACTCCAAGAGAACGGTGGCTGAATCTGATCTAATGGGGCAGTTGAAGACCTGTGATGCATGGTTAAGCCATTATGAACCAATGTTGGAACCAGACCATTGATTACAATATATGAAGAAAATAAGGCTGCATAAGAGCGAGCATAAAGCATTAACGCCATTACCGCAAACCCAGCAAAAGTAAGGTCACTCTCAACAACATCTCTGTCCATGTCCCTAGCTTCACTGACCTGGTCATCATGATATAGGATATGTGTAAAGTACAACTTAAGAGCATGTGAGCAGAAGCTGGCATAATCCAGAACAACATGATGCTGGCTGTCTATATAGTTAACTAAAAACAGAACTCAAGTGACATGACAAGTGCATATAGCTAACTTAAGAAGCCTCAGACTTCTAGCATAAATTTAGGTTGTACAATAGAATTCACACACAGGTCTCAGCAGTGAAATTCTGCAAGGTGTATTACTGACAGGGTTCTAGGTAAAATGGCATTCATCAAGTTTTTTCAGCCAATAGGTTCATGAGATAATGAGAGCATGGGTAACTACCATCATATCAGGAAGTCGTTTAAACGCAAGGGCTAGGACCCGAGATCCTTGGCGTGTGAATCTCTTATATGTTTCGATATACTGTGCTGGCACATCCACAAGCCGATCTTGGATGGTCTCCGGCGCACCCTGAAAAATTAGTTAAAAATAAGCATCCAATATTTGAATATACTTTTAAAAATTTAGTCTACAAAAATGATGAATTAAGCCAACCTTCACAAACACTAAATACTCCTCCTGAATACGAACGATAACTGACATTCTCTTCAGATGCGAAGCAAAATGGTATCTCTGCATAATCTGCACCGAGTTGCCATTTCCTCTGCAGCGGATTACACATAAAAATAAGAAAGATCTTCTTCGTATGTGCGCAGAAAGCTCTTTAAACCAATAATTAAAAAATTACCAACTTTAAGCCTTGTGGAGGCAAAATTTTCAAGGTTCAGTAGAAATAAAGATTATAAGCTATTCAGAGAAAAATCATTAAGTTATAAGGACAGTATTCACAAGGCTACATAAAAATCAGTAATTACCTTCTAGGCAAGGCCTTTTCATCAGCTTTGTAACTCCAGTCAATTCCTTTAAGTGCAGCCTTCTCAAGTGGATCACCGACCTGTACGTATTAAAAAAACAGAGTAAGACGTGACAGATTATTTTAATGATGTTTCGTGATGCAAAAGTAAAACATACGCGGTTTCAAAAAGATGACTATTAGTAAATGTATCATTATCACATGCGGACTCATACACTGATTAATTTCAAGCTTTCTGAAGTAAAGTACACTACATGAAAATCGCATATCAGAAATATCACCAAATATGTGTGCGTATATCAAAAGAGTCACAATAATGAAGTTTCTAACAGCCGAAAAACAGGAACAACAGAAAAACCTATGGTCAAAAAGGAAAAGACATTGCGTTGCGCATACCAGCTTGTTGTCTACAAAGACCAAAGCATGACAAGAAGCCAAAATCTCCAATGTACGTACAGGAACCTTGCTCATATCAGTCTCTGCTTCTTCACAATTAGACAATCCCCCAACTCCTCGGAATTCCTATGTATAGGAAACGATAATGAATTTATCTTAAGCAAAATCAAGCAAGCATACACCCAGAACTTTCACTTGACCTTACCATGTCATCTGACGTGAGTGTACCAGTCTTGTCAAAACAACATAGATCAACCTGTCAGCAAAAAGGGAAAAGTGTGACACTAGTAAGACAGCAGTACAATCAGGAACAGATACTAATTCCTTGAAGAGTGCCGTAGGCTCAACATCTATAGTACAGACCAACAAATAGCCAAATGAGGTACAGTAGATTATACCTTCCCGGCAAAAGGGATCCTAAAAGGCTCTGTGCAAAATATTCCACGTCGTGCAAGAGCGATTAATGATGTATTGACAGCAATGGATAATTCCATAGGCAATTCCGGCGGAATTACTGATGTGATGATAAGTGAACAGCCTAGCAAAAGCTTATATTTGCTCCTTGTAGGATCCTCGAGACCCTGCAAAGAAGTTTCCTCAACAATAGTATAGATAGACATTTATTTGAATAGGAATCTAAAACAAATATTACCATACCTTTACAAGAACATAACCAGCAGCTATCACAGCAAATACCACTAGAAATAATATGAACAGACCACTCTCCCAGCTGTTTGCAGTAACCTAATTTTTTTTACCAAATAGATCAGAACAATCAAAATTCTCAAGCATTAAGAAATGAAACAACAAATAAAGGAAATATCTCTAACCCTTTCTGTAGAAAATAGAATTGTCCTCATTAGTTTTCCTTGGCTCGTCTCAAATCCAGTTCGGAGAACAACAGCTAGACAACCACCATCAGGGGTTTTCAGAGAGAAGGACTGACCCCAAACATAAGTTAGTATAAAACACAGATTTGGAGAGAGCATGGAAGAAGAAATGGTCGATATTACTGAGATGGAAATACCTTGTCAGGTGAATGTTGCAAGATTTTGGTCCCACCAAATAAAACATGATTCTTATCCCTTTTAATCGATAATTTTTCATCAGATCCTACGCCAACAGTTGGAACCTATAAAAGCCATCATATAATCTCAGTGAATCATAGGTCACTAACCTAATAATAGCCATCATATAATCTCAGCAAAACATAGGTCACTACACATATGAACCTTATAATATAAGGGTCTAATCAATATCACTATCACGAACTAAGTATTGCTCACTAGTTAATAATGATAATTCATAGTTTTAATCAAAGATACTAGAACCTATTACACATATTGTGATTTGTGAGAGAAGCTGCTGAAGCGATAATTTGAATGGCAAGTAAGATGACAAAATCCAAATTATATCCAATGTTATAATTCAGAACTTCCAAATCCCAAAGTTCAGAAAGGAACTTAAAAGAGATGTCATATAAAGTACCTTCCACTGGGGAGTTGATTCGCCTGTCAAAATGGCTTCATTTACAATAGCACTTCCTACCAGTAAAAGCATGTCCGCTGGTACTGTCTTATCCTCTCCTCCAGTCTGAGTTGAAGGTCTCCCAATGGACACAATATCTCCTGGAAGTAGATCCGTACCTAAGAGCTTGACCCACCTAAAATTTAACTTATTTAGACACAGCAGTAATACTAAAACGACCATTAAGGTAAACTCGAGTGTAATTCAATTACATACTTCCCACATCGATACACCATCACAGTCTGACTGTCCACCCTAACACGTCTTAGGTCGGTTAATGTCTTCAAGCGGCTTTTGGCCATTGTTGACTCGAACATGAAAAGCATGAATAGTGTGAACACACTGTAGTACCAAAATTCATCCAAGCACCAAAGACCCACACAGAAAACCTGCAAAATGAGGAAGAAGAACAATACGTAAAGCCACAACATATATATATATATATATATATAGAGCTCTAAGATACAAGCATTATCAAGTAAACAACACCTGAAATACAAAAAATGGTTCCATGCAGTTTTCTTTCATTAGCTTCTGGAATGTAGGTTGCGGGTAATCAAATCTGCAAGACACCAAAATAAAGTATCAAACCAGATAAAAGAAACTTTGAATTTCACATGGAGAAATGTTTTAATTGAGGTTGGTTTAACACATTAAAAAAAACAGAATGTACAAATTAAGAGACTATTAGAAAAAATTTGCAGTAGACTATAAATCTCAATACTCGACGATACAGTGATTAAGTGATAGATAAAGGAAAATAACAAGGCGACTTACACATTCCTTCCCCACTTCTCAGTGGCAGCGGCAACTTTAGCTTCTGTACCATAACCAGTACATTTCAAATAATGACCAAATGTTTCCTTTGTGGGGTAAGGAAGCTTGGAAAAGGCTCCTAGCTCTTTTGAGTAAATAAAACGCTGCTTCCTGAAGTCAAAGTAAATTTCTTCCAGGTCTCCCGAGGATGCTGAACCTGTCATCTGCAAACAGCAAAAGAGTCAAAAATGATAATAACATGAAAAGTAAGACTACTGATAAAATCAAGTATTTCTACACCAAAGAGGATTCAAATAGTATAGGGCTTTAATTCATTAAATTATACGCAGAGAGAAATGACAGAGAGATAGTATTGGTAGTCAAGGGGGAAAACACACTGAACTTTACATATCATGAGAACCAACTAGAATCACAGAAAAACATAAAACTACTATTAATGAAGACTATTTTAGTGACAACTAAACTATTAAACATAAAACAAAGAATGAACTTACTTGGCTACGAAAATGAAGAGGCACAACTTCTTTAGAGCCAGAAAATTTGGCTGGGGTAACTTTACATGCATCTGCTTGATTGATATTGTTAACCTATTAAATCAATACACAGACACAGCGCGAATTAGTAACTGTAACTCAGGATTCATCCGTTAAAGAACCATTGGAGACTGCAAGTTTTACCTTGCTAAAGTGGACAAAACACTTGAAATCCACAGACCACGCAGTGAAAAGCAGGACTAAGATGTGAGAAGAAGCAAGAGCACCAAAGGCAATGAAAGCATCAGTGAAGTCTATGCTAGGAACGATCGTAGTCAACCACAATGCATAGAGAATCGCAAAAGGCCAAACGTCCAAACGCCACGCCCAGTGTTTCTTCCTACACAAATCAACCTTGTCCACTACTTTCCCTCCTACGCGAAAGCTCGACATCTCTAAACCAAAAAAAAAAACCAGTTCTCCCGTCAATCGTCTGAAGTTCTTCTGCCCACAATTACAAAATCAAAAAACAGCTACACATACATTTCCTCATTCCAACAATCGAAATCGCGCATAAGAAGAGAAAACTGCATAGGAAATCATCAACCCTAACGATTGTGAAGCAGATCTAGGGGAGGAGGAGAAGACGAACCTTGAAATTGGAATAGCTTGAAACGAGAGATCAAAAACTAGGGTTTTCCAAATTCACATGCTCAGATGATAAGATCGAATCACGGCGAAACCAAAGAAGGAATCTCCTTTAGTTAGTCTCACCTCACGATTGATGAAGACGATGGAAGAATCGGGTTTTTGATAGTTTTTAGCCGCTTCGGTTTCCGTTCGTAGACTTCTCTCTCTCTCTCTAAATCCCTTTGTTAATTTATACTGTATCATCAGTAATCTTTAATTTTTATTACGTTTTTAATATTATTTCTAGAAAATTTTATTTATAGTACTTTAATTTTTTGAAGATTTTACTTTAACATAAAACGAGAAAAAAAAAACAAATGTTTTTCTTTCTAGATTTGTTATTTACGTTTATGTAAACTATATACTAGTTCAATGTTATGCATTACAGTTTGACCCAAAAAAATGTTATGCATTAGAATGTTTTAATTACAAAAACATTTGATTATAAAAGTGATATAATATACAGTAAAAAATTGAGCGGGTTTGATTTCCATAATCATATACTATCATAGTAAAGCATGTTTGTAAATTATAGTCATTATATGTAATCCAAAGCTCAAAAAAGACTAATGTGGTTTTATTTGTTATTTGTAACCCTATTATATAAATTTTAATGTGTCAATCTTACAAATTCAATCGTGACACGTGTTAGGTGTATTAATTAGAAAATAAGAATACATTTTAATAAATTAAGAAGTAATTATGTATAATTGTATACTATGAAATTTTAAAACAATAAATCTTGTATTTTCTAAATTTAAAAAGTACCAAAAAACAGGTGCTAATTTACATGTATCATTCATCAATTAGATTTTGACATATATTATATATATTTTTAATACTAACTAAGATATAAACTACTAGTATTAGTTGGTTTTAAATATTAATTAAGATATATAGTTGATATGATGCATATGTCATTTTTGTATGAAAATTTTTGCAGTTTAGTGATAGAATAGATGGTAAAATTGTATTTCGAGATTTCGTAAGGTTCAATCTAACTATCAACTTATGCAACTTTATAAGAGATCTCTAAAGAATGCCAAAAGATGAATGGGTGATGCTCATGGATCTGATGATGCATTCAACATCTCTTGGGGTGTCTACAACTTTAGGTAGGAAGCATCAGTGATATTTAACAATTGTGCAATGATAGTTATTTTTACAGTGGTACTAAGAAGTAGGGTAGTTACTTTGTAATAAAACATATGTTTCTTGGGTTCTAATCATGTCTATGGTTCACTAAAGTTCGAAGTCTGATATTTTCAGGGGCTATTTAATTTTTTTCTTACACTTTTTATTTTAGGTATACATATATATATATATATATATATGAGTTGTAAAGTATCAATGAAAATTTGCATATATTTGGATCCTAATCCTCTGAAAAAAAATCTTAGAGTAACTTATTTGATAATCATTGTAAATATTTATTGCTATGATTATTTTAATTAATTTCAGTATTAAATATATGTCAAAATATTATACTATCCCATTATATATAAATATATAATTAAATTATAAATAAAACAATACTCAACCATGACATAACTAAATGATTTGATTTATAACCACAATTAGTACTATATGATTGTATAAATCTGAGATGTTTGAAGTTATTGTGAGACAAAATCTAATTTCACTAAATAATATATGCATTGTGTATGTATATATTTAAAGTTTGAAAAAATCCCCATAAATATTTAGATATGATAGACTTGCACAATTATTTGAGTACTGTTTGAGCATTATATAGTATAAAATATATTTTTTATAGTATATAAAAATATATATATTAATTGCACTATAAAAAAATGGAAAGTTTGAATATTTTTTTTTCTATATGCTGCCCCAAGAAAGAAGATTTATTCTTATAAAATATTTTGCAAAGAATAAGTGACAAGTGGTATTGTTTGCCATCTGTCACATAACACATGCCATCTGTCACATAATACAATGTATTAAGCTCCACATATGGTTAGGAAAAATAAAATAAGGGAAGAAAAAAAAGGAAAAATAATAACAATAATGTCTAAACTTATTTTGTGAAAATAATAATGTATATTAACTTTAAATATTATATAACATGTGTTTTGATATTTTCCATCTTATATTTAATAGATTTTGGTATATCTATATATATATATATATATATATATAGATGTTGATATAGTTATCGTTTGTCTTCACAAGTCTTTCAAAGCTAGTTTATGGATTTATAAAAACAAGATTTTTTATTTCAGATCTATAGTATATCTTTCTAAAGCATTTGGTGTTTTTTTTTTCGGGAGAGTGTTTAGTCTAACGTAGTAGATTTTTTCTTGGAAAATGATTTTGGGAGAGAATGTTAGTGTTGGTTCATCGTGGAGCAGGGATGAAGATATTGCTTTCGAGAGAGCACTTGCAATCTATGCCGATGAAAATGAGAATCGTTGGGAAAAGATTGCTTTAGTTGTTCCAGGGAAAACTAAAGAACAAATTATAGAGCATTACAATGTTTTAGTTCGTGATGTTACGATGATTGAATCTGGACTTGTACCTCTTCCTGCTTGTTTTGGCTTTTCAGAAGAACCAAATCACAATGCTAGTGGTCAAGGCAAAAGCGCATTGGAATATGGCGAATATCATCGTAAGACACATGACAAATCAAAACCAAAGCAAACAAGAAAAAGAGGAATTCCTTGGACATCAACTGAACACAGGTTCCTCCTACTATTCACTTGTTTTTTTTTTGTCGTCTATTCACTTGTTTTAAAATCTAATTCTTGTGTTTAATTAATTAATTTGATAGCATAATTATGGCATTAATCACTTAGGATACTATTTTGTTTGTTTTGTTAATGATGGGAATAGACAATTTCTTCTTGGTTTGGAGAAATTTGGGAAAGGTGATTGGCGTAGCATTTCTCGTCATTTTGTCTTGACAAGAACATCAACTCAAGTTGCAAGCCATGCTCAAAAGTACTACCAACGTCTTAACTCAAAGAACAAACACAAAAACAGGGCAAGCATTCATGACGTTACAGTTGCAGGAGACAAACCAAAACAAAGAGCAATCACATGGCAAACCTTTGCTTCTACTTCCAACAATCAACTCATTCAACCTGCTTCGCAACCATCACTCGAGCTTCCTATACATGGAAGACGAAACATATGGAACACACAAGCCACTCAAGCCATTTCACAACCACCAGCGCTAAATCATCCTACTGCATATGGTGTACCTACTACCATATGGAACGCAGCCACTCTGCAGCCGTCAGCCAATTTTCATGTGTATGGAACGCCTACCATAAGCCAACCGATGGTTGGACCAATGCTCTCACCTTTTGGAACAAACATGAACCGTTTGGCTCAACCTCACATGACTTCTGGAGTTCATTTCGTACCTTCCTACTCGGGTCCTAATGCACCGATCAACATGGGTTCAATCCCATATGACATCAAACCCAAAGATAGGTCTTAATCTTCATGTTTTATGCTTGTTTTAAGGTGTAAGCGGGTTTTTATGGATTATTTGATGTTTTTCTTTATCATATGGTTAGGGTGTAACATTTTTCATATATATACCTATTTTAAATCCAACTAAACCTAAATTAAAATTCAAATTACTTATATTCATCATCATTATATATACTTTTAATAGAATTACGAAAGCACACTTGATCGGGTTTTAAAAGTAGAACCATTACGCCCATAATCCGAAAAAATGTTATCTAAACAAATCATCACTTGTTAAAATCTATTTTCTTTTCCATCTTTTTTTTTTGTCAACAAAATTTTCTTTTCCATCTAAATATCTATTTTAAAACATTATAAATGTCTATTCATCTTAAAATTTTTGTTTAATCAAGAAATATTATTATACAAAATTAAAAGACTAAGAACTGAATGTGAATTTAAATTGAAGTTTTATAATTTATGGCTATTAATTTCATCAAAAAAATATTAAAAAATATATTAAAACGTATGATTTTATTTAGTTGATACTTCGAATTTTACACACATGACTTTGAAATATAATTAAAATTTTCAGAATATATATAAAACAAGTATATTAGACACCATTTGATTTTTATCAGCTAATAAAAAAAATAAAGTAGCGTGAGAAATTGTTTAATTTCAACTTGGAAAATAAGAAATATTTATATCAAACAGATAATTTAATTACATTATCCCATAATTAAAAAAGAAGAAGAGAAAATCAACTCAGGAAAATGTTTAATCCCCCAAGTAAATTAATCCTCGACTTCGCACACTTTTGATATAAACTAAGAAAAACTACGACACCGAAACAAGTACACGTGGACGACAGTTATTGGTGGATATATCAAGAAGAGTACAAAGTCAAAATAAGTCAACAAAATAGCATAAACCTTCAAGTTCAAGTAGCAGCAGCTGTTGCACTGTTTCTAACTAGTCCATGACCATTCTCAATCTCAACCCTCCGATCGTTACAGTTACACATGTTCACCGATCGAACGACTGTGATCCCACATGCTGGTTCTGCTGCGCCTCCTAGCTTCAGCATATCGATGCTTACTTCAGGCAACTTTGCGTTTTCGAGTTCTTTCTCGACCAAATCCGACGACGTTTTGCAGTATTTGTAAACCACGTAAAGTATCATTTGTAGTGCACCGAGAGCAAACCCAATCACGTTAGGGAACTGCGAAATCGACATAAAATATAAAGTTGGGAAAAAAAATTTAAAAGATAATATTATTAGTGCTCAAAGCAATACACCTACCTAGCTAATACTTTAATACTTATATATATATGAACTTTACGCTTTATGAATTTGCATTATTGAGGTTTTTACTTTTCAGAAATTTTTAGTGTAACGATTACGTGAGATATAGATGTAGATAGAACTCTTTTGTAAAAAGATGGAGTATCTTTTAGTGTTTAGTGGGAGATGTTTAAATGTAAAACGACAATAATACCGAACAAAAAAGGTTTTGCTTTTTGTGAATCCATATCTATTCTTTTTTTTTATGATTAACTTCAGGTAAATAGAAACAAAAGCAAAAACACACTTCATGCAAATTAAATAATGATGATTGTGATTATAATGATTATGATGATTGAACTTACGGCAACGTAGATATCTTTAAGAGCAAGACCGTAAAGGAGCCATATGACCGCACTGATGGTAAGAGTCAATGATAAGCTAAACGGCATGTACTCCACGCTTTTCGTCTTTATCACCGTTCTCTGTGAAATTTAATTATTCATATTATTTAGTTATAGTTTATGTAACATTATAGTTAGCTAGAGAGAGTATACTACTATATATATATACTACTTACGATAATGCTAAGCGGCGCAGCGAAAACGCAAACGGAGAAGCCAACACAGATTCCTCCAATGATCTTGGCACGTGTGGCTCCTTTAGCTAAGAATTGGCAGAGAAGAAGAATCGCACAGAATCCTCCAACGTTCATTAGCAACAAGAGCTTCACCGTGAGCATCTGCACCAAAACAATATCATCATTAAACATCATATAATAAAAATATCATATCATATATGCATGTATAGTGGATAATGAACATACTCGGGCGTTCTTGGTTGCGAAGGCAAGGAAGATGGAGATGTAGATGGTTTCAATGAAGCAACCAAAGCTGTTGATGGTTACCAGAAGGAAGACATCTTTCTTCTGAGTAGCGTAGTAGAGCCAAAGCATCGCGCTGAAGAGCGCCACCACGTATGGAATAGATTGAAATCCTTCTGTGGTTTTCTTCTTACAAATCCTGTAGAACGTTGGCCTGCATGCATGGATCCATATATAATCGAATCAATATATCACTCTTTGTTTAAATTTGTCATTTTGGTTTGTATCATATGCTCATTATAGTACTAGCTAGTTAGATATAGTAACATAAGCGTATGTGTTGGACATATCATGAAGAAACAAGAACAGAGTGAGGTAAAGTACTTACACGGGAGAGAGGAAAACAGCAAAAGAAATCAGGTTTCCTGAAAATTACACGATAAAAAATGAAAGTAGTGTTAATATATATTGATATCAAAATCTTGATATTGGTGATATCAGATATATATGAAGAGAGATGAACGTGAGAACTCATACCGAGCAAGCCGAAAACAAAGGCCCATGTGTTATGAGTGTCGAATAGAGCCATGAATGTATAGTAGAAGAAGAAGAAGAAGAAGAAGGTTTCTTTGAAGTAAGAAAAGATATTAAAGAGGTTTGTGAGTGTTTTTCTCTTGAATCAAAAGCTAATGGCACGACCTTAGCATTCTGAGGACTTCAAGTATATATAGAGGGGAGAGGTCTTGAGAAAGAAGGATAGAGATGTGTGTGAGAAAGGAAAATAAAGATAAAAATGTTTGTGTGAGTCATAATAATTTTCACAAAAAGTGACAATATAATTTATTAAAAAGTATTGGTGTCTTTGTAGGTGTACTATAAAAATAAAATTTCTATTAGCAAAATAATTCACAGAAACAATCCAACAACAAAATAACTTTTTTTCATAAATAATGCAAGTCGATTTCAGTTTAGGCCAACTCTTCCTTTTAAAGACTATGTCTAGATTCTACCTATTTCACATATACCTATTTATTTGAATACATTTCACATTCTTAATTTCTATGGTAGTATGATTTATATACTTCATATCCTGATTTATATATAAAAAATTAGGTTTAAATTACGTTTCCAAGAAAATTAGACAATTGGTTCACGTGACATTGTACGTAAGTTATAATTAGCCGTTTTCACTTTTAGCCATCTTTCATCAAAATTTTACGTTTCGCAATTTTAAGAAAACATTTGTTTTTTTTTGTCTTACCTTTTTTTGCCGTTTCTTAATCATTAATTAATATTTGTCTGTACCCTCCAAATTTTATAATTTATAGATCTTCTATTCCAAGTTTAGTCGAATTCACATACATTTCATCATATCAAACAAAAATTATAGAACTAAATGAGATTCATGTTTTGTCTTTACATTTTCAAAGAGGAAAATAAACCGAGCAAATGAGAAATAGACGGCTTAACCAAAATTTGAGACTTGGATAAGAATCGGATAAGATTTATATAGTATAAATTTCACTTCTTAATTCTTAACCACACTTAAGCATATACTATGTAACAAAAGAAACTAAACTAGCTATGGCCCTTCTATTTAACATTTGTCAATAAAGTGTTTCTTGTAACTTGTATATCGAAATGTAGTTAAAAAAATTTCGGTAGATTATATATAGATGCAAGTTTTTCCTATTGGCTCCAACATGAAATAGACACAAATTGCTCATGCACACGACGAGTAAGTGAAGGTAAGGACCTCATATATGGTTATTACTATTAGGGAACACAAATGAGTTTAGTGATGTCACAATTTTTAGTTGGCAAGTTTGCTATAAAATTGAAGAAGACTATGGATATCCAAACTCAACCATAATTTCTTCTACCTGGAAATTTAGTTCTATCAATGGCTAAAAATATTTTATTTGGGTTCATTACATTTTCAAGGATGATTTTGATAGTAGGTTAAACCGTCTTTAGTAGTTTCAAGCGTTACGTATTAGATATTCTATACAAAAATAGTTATAATGTATTCATTTTCAAGAGTAGATCATTTTTATAATCTATATAAAAATGTAGAAGGTGAAAATATAAATAATAGATTGATATATTTTGGGGAGAACCAAACTCCAATAATTCATAACTAATAGGACAAAATAACAATAGCATGAACTGCATTTGAGAAACTTTAGTATCAGACAAGACTTTTATGGTTATTTGAACGTACCCTTTAGGTTAATTAGTAACTTAATATGCTGAATCACATCATTTTCATTTTTCAAAGAGTTCATTTTTTTTGGTGTACCTCTTTATTTATAGTAAAAGTTATAAATGAAAAGGACGTATATATCGATTCAAATATATAATTTCAAGCACAGAATAAGGAGATTGTTCACCGTTTACAAAAAAACAATCAATACTGATTTGAACAATCAATGTACAAACTAAGTAACTATATTGTTTTTTTGGTTACTCAGACTGGTGAATATATCAAAAATTAACTAATTAATATTATTGATATGTTATATTATACTGTATCATATATTTGACCAAAATAAGAAGAAGTTATTTATCATTAAAAGTTGTGATATTATAATTCTACATGTCTCGGGTTAGCACACGTATATAATATATATCATGTTTAAATTTATCGTACTGTATATATATATAATAGTACGTCTGGTGATAAAATTCAGGATTAATTGGGTTTTTAGTACATTTTTGAAACATAATTGTAGAAGTAGTACATTTACTATTCATTATTAGCAAACTAATACATTTTTACTATTTGGACACTATTTAGATACTATTAGAAACCCCATTAAATCTAATAACTAAAAATATTCATCAAAATATATTTGTTTTCTATAAAATTTCAATTACATAAAAATTTATATTTTTTTCTCTATAATTTGATATGCATTTTTTAAAATATAATTTCAAATATTTTTCAAACAAATTTTGATACGTCCAGCTATCCTTATGTACAATTGTGTGTCGATGTACGGAAAATCATCCGTACAGCGGTCTATATATACGTATAATTGTATGTGTACATATATTTTCTTGTCTATATATGTATATCTTTATGTGTAAATATGTTTATATGTAGTTGTTTCTCTTTGTACAAATATTTGATGTACAATAATATGTTACTGTACAGTTGTCTGTCTGTACAGATATCTGAAATAGTAAAATTGTACTATTTTGCTAATTATGAATAGTAAATGTACTATCTTTATAATTATGTTTCAAAAACGTAATAGTTTGCCAACACACCCTAAAATTCATCATATACAACTTGGAAAGTTCGAGCTAAATTAGGTTCACTCACAACACATGTCGTCACGAACACTTAGCTTAGAAGCGCAATTACAAATCGTCTCTGACACAAGCTAAGCTTCATTTGGTCTAGTTTCGGGATTAATAAGCGATATATGTCCTAATACTCTTTCTATATCCATCTTAAAATGTTGGATTGTGTGGCTATATAGACAAGCCCAAGAAAAAACAAACAATGAATCATTTGTTGTTGTTAACTAGAGTTGTTTTTATTTTCTTACGCATGCAACAACGGTTTAGCTAGGAGCTAATCCTACATAAGAATAAAGTTAAAAAAGCAGAGATCAGCTTCTGAGTATAGCAGCAAAGGCCAAACAAAGAAAACATATATAACATAAATGAGTTTAAATAGAAACGTAAACGGTAGGTACTACCCGGTACACTCACGTATTGTACTTCGAAAAGACAACAAATTTATCATTTGATTGTTTCACAAGTTTCAACTATATATATATATATATATATATATATATATATATGAAGAACCAACCATTTCAAGTAATAAATGTATATATATATATATATAGACTATAGTGTTTTGTTTTTCTGTTTTGGACCTCATATTCCCTTGTTCTAGACTTCTTAGTATACGTGTGTCGCAGATCTTTGATCATTCTAAAAATACCTCAAAAAAAAGTTTAAATTAATTAAATTTTGTTGTGGTCATGCTTTAGTTAAAAGAAAACGATTATGAAGTGGTCGGTGGGAGTGGGACTATATGATATACCAATAAATATCTAAATGGGAAAGATATTTTTTCTTTTCTGTAACCTAACATTGCAAGTATATAATATATATAGATCCATAAAATACTTTATAAATTGGTCTCTGTGATATTTATGAGTTATATTGATGATGGATGAAATAAACTAACATAACATTGATCACTTTTAAATGCTGAATTCGATTTTAAATCTTATAGTCCGGTTATACTGACAAAAACTTATAGGTCGCCGGTTTAAGTAGCGCTTGAGACTAGATTATATAACATGTTTTGATCTCGGATTTGAGGGGATGTGTGAGTTTCAGCCTCAATCCTTTTTGATTATTCAAAAAAAGATATATATATATAGGTGTGAATATCTGAGATTATGTTTAAGTAATTGGTTGTAGTGAAAAAGGGTTTACATTATGATTTCTTGTCACGACCACTTGTTCGTGTAGATTTTGTTGTTGTTGTTGTTAAAACTAAAACATATGTGCAAGTAGATTTTTATTATCTCCAACTATAATGGTAATTCATAATATTAAAACTAATAATATAAAATATCTACAACAAGAATATGAATCAAATGTACAGTATTGTTCTTTCCCCTCTTTTAAATTGAGGAATCTCACATTATAACTTTTGACCATAGAAATATCTACCAGAAAAAAAGAAAACAACAATAATGAAACAAAAACTCATATTATAATCAAAAGATAATCATATTATATATAGTATTAGTAATTAGCTTCAGAATTATATTTCTATACAATAGTTAGAATCCACTTCCTTAAACCCTGTACACAAATATCAATTGGATGAGATGTAAAACTATTGTCGTGGCGACAGAAAAACAATTATTTCCCCCGATCCCATTCATAATTAATTAGTTTGTTTTTATAGTTATAAATTGATTATACTATTACAATTTTCCTGGCCACTACGAGCTTTTCTTAACAATAATTGACAATAATTTCTCATAAGAAATGCGTATATATAGAAAAATGAAACAAAAAAATGTTTCCGTTGAGTGCATCAAGAAAACAAAACAAAAAGGACCTAATTATTCGTCTTTAATCTTTTATCAGTACTGACTCATCACCTGATTCAAAGAGTCTCATTAACATATATATAATCATTTTGTCATCAAGTGTACACTTTAAGTGGCAGTAGACTTGATCGGTCTTTCAAATTAAGGAAGTTGAACTTTGTTGCCCTTGATTATCAGTTCGAACTCTCTTGAGATGGATGATTCGTGTTTTAAAATGGATATATAATCAAAGGCTGGTCTCGATCGAGCTAAACAAGAGCATGAGCTTCGGTTAAGAGTTCGGTACATGTTGGCAAACAAACATTTCGTTTTCGTTAGGGCCATTTTATAAAGAAGCTGTAATAGTAATAGATATGTAATATATATTGCATATACACCCCAAACGAAAACGAAAGGTATGCATGGATGTTACAGCTTACAAATAAGTAGTGTTTGGGTACAACCCAAACGAAAACGAAAGGTACAAATACAATACAAATATAAATCACATCATCAACTAGTGAAAATGATATGATTATATATACACGTGGTGTAATTAATTAACTTTGCTTTCGTAGGCTGAAGAACTTGAATGGTATAAGAAAATTAAATTTGGAAAAAGAGAT